ATCGTAAAGCAATGTGGGGTCAGCCTTCAAAAGTACAATTTGTTCTGTAGCTTTGGTTTGAATTGCAATGTGATGAGTACTGACATAATTGAGGTGTAAGGATTTCCAGTAGCAGTAATAGTACAGTAATCGTAGTAGTAATGGTAATTTTTATCTTTGTGAAGCGTTTCGGTTGCTCAAGCGTGAATGGTGCGTAATGGTGCGTATATTCGCCTTGCCAAATATTAGTAGACAAGTACATGAATACATATTTCTACATACTAAAACACTACTACTACATTATACTTTTAACAGATATCTTGGAGATTTCTAAGGCCAAGAACAGCTATTTAAAGTCTATAGTACTCCAAAAGTGAACCAACTTGTACCATTGGGTAGCTTTTGTTGTGAGAAGTACTGTAATAATTGTACTGAATGGATTTCCAGTAGTAATACTTAGTAAAATACTACCTATAAATGGAACTTTTTATAACACATAAATGTCTTGGAGATTGCTAAGGCCAACAATAGCTTTTATTGTGAAAAGTACTGTCATATTTGAGGTGCGGACTTCCAGTAGTAGTAACAGTATAGTAGTTGTAGTAGACATGGTAATTTGAAGTTTCTCATGCATGAATGAGTCTTTATATATTTGACTTGCCAAATAAGTTTAGTAGATGAGTATGTGTTTATGTACTTAAATACTACCCCTTATTTGAACTTTTTATATTGCGCTTTTAACAGTTCAAACATCGATGCCTTGGAGATTTCTCAGGCCAAGTATGGCTACTAAAACTCTAAAGTACTCCAAAAGAGTACCAAGCTAATAACTGTTCATTGGTTTTGGCTTCCTGATTGGCTCCATATTGAGCATTCTAAGGCGTGTTTTAATTGTTGATTGCTGTGGCTGCTGCTGTTTTCTTACAATTCTGAAACTCATGGATGTGTTTTTGCTTCTTCTGGGCAGGAAATAATAGAACTACTAAAATAAAGGGAGTATGAAAAACTTGAAAAAGAGTGGGTACCTCAAAAAAGGACACCTGTAGCATAACTATCAGAAACACAACTCTACAGTCAACTGCATTGCCTTGCACCAGCAGTACTTGCACCCCAGTTTGAAAACCACTTCTCTGGCTGGTTCTGTGTCAGTGCAGGTAAGTGAAGTGAGTGACATTTAATAGCCTTTGCTGTCAAAACAAAGCCGTGCTTTTACAGACTGTCATAGTGAGAACATGAAAGAGTCCGCCAACAGGAAGCCATTGAACTAAACCTGTTGATCAAAACTCTCCCATCACATCCGCAAAGCTGGGTTAGTATATTGTTGTACAGGGCTATTAAAGTGTGTACACTGCAAAACAAATAATATACTTTATGCTTTGCATCATTGGAATATTAAAATAACATTAAAATATTCAAGTACTTCCTACTAAATTTGATTTATCTGTTTTTTAAGAAATGTTTCAAATAATGTTACGTCATCTTTATCCATGTCAATATTTAATGTTGATCCAAAGCACATATACTTATTCTTATATTTACCTAAATAATTACACAAATAATTAAAGTCTTTGAAATAGTTGTTGCATGTTGGACTCCGCCAGGGCTGCCCTTTGTCACCGGTTCTGTTCTGAAATAGTTATATAGTTGATATATTTTTGTATCTGGCAACATTCTCCATCAATAATCAAGTTGCTGAAGTTGTTACATCACAAGTTTAAGTGCGCATTTCTAAAGCGCATTCAAAAACGACTTGGAAATTAGAATATTGCAACCAGAAAATACAACCAACTTATATCAAATAAGCGAAAACTACTTAAATCAGCAAACTGTAAGCCTCGAGCCATATTAACTAATGCAGATGTATTTATTTTGCAGGGTGCACTTTCGGGATGTTGAAAAGTTACGACCGTTATCTTAGCAACAATTAAACAGTAAAAAACTAAATATCATATAATTTGAATGGGATTAAATCTTCAAAACACACAACAGGAAGCCAAAGCCCATGAATACAGCCTGGTAGATAAGTGGAGTCAGTTATCTGGGCACACAGAGTAGAGAGTGAGAGAGAGGCGTCTGTGAGTGACAGGTCTGGTTGGACAGGTTCTGGGGAGAGGCTGATACTTGTCCTAACTGCAGCGTTTACAGATTTTACTGCTGCAGCTGCTCCGGCGATCGGCCCACAACTGTTTCCCCAACACGCCATTCTCTGTGGAGTCACTTAGAAATGCTTATAGGGCTTAAGTTAATGTTAAGTGAATGTTTTGTGAATCTTTTTTCACTGTTTTGAATAAAAAGCATGGTTTAGGCTGTCACTTTGAAGTAAAAAAAGAAGATCTGACAATTCTGGCAACATCATTTAATCAATTGTCCATATTATGTTATTTTATGATCGATGTTATAATGTTGTTTCCTCATCACAAACATACATGGAGTTGTGTTTTGTTTCATTCACATGTTTAACACACAACACTCTGCATACTCAAGTTCTTCATTTAGGAGTTTTTCGCTCGAATAGAAAACACTCTGTTCCACTTGGTGATTTCATGTGGTCATAAAGAACTGTGTTTTTAAACTCTATGCTTCACTGGAATCATTTGGCAGATTTCAGTCCTGTTCCTGATGGAGTTCCTTGGGCTAATATGTTTGTACTTTATATTAGAAAAGAAATTCGCTGGAATATTTTGGAACATTTTAATTGTTCTGTTTCTTCTTCTGCTGCTGAAACAATGTCTGACTCATGTCCAGATTTTAAGGCGGGATCTTGGTCAGGAGCAGCCATCTGCACAATCAGCCTACTGTTCATGTTTTGATTTGATAAAAAAAAAAAAAAACAGACAAAAAAATAAATAAATTATCAAAGGATCTGATTTAAATTTAACACTCTTTTTTTTTGTAACGTCATGTTTTAGCTTAGGTTTTATGTAGTGTGTAGAGATGGGTATGGTGATGTTTTTTTATGCAAAATTTCAAAATTAGGGAAGAAAAAAATTAAATAAAATAAAGATTAACCTATAGTCATTTTTTCGGGTTGAGGGAGAAAACTAAAGACTGAATGACGAAACCCACCCAAGATGTGAACGTGCAAATCTCGTGGAGCTTTCACCTGAACTGAACTGATCCTGTAATTACAAAAAAAATGAAGTGTCCAAAGATTCAAAACAATAAAGGCAATAAAAACTACAGCTTCTCTTTTGTTGTTTTGTGTGTTTGTCAGCAGCAGATCCTGTGACAAACCAGTTTGTCACAAGAGTGCTTTCTTTGTAGCGCCCCAGGTCTTGCAGACTACAATGACATTTGAACTCTTTTTTTGTCTCCTCGTCAGTGTTATGTTTTGAGTCTATTCAGTGAGTTCTGTGTTAAATGCTAAAGTGCTAAGTTTAAAAAAATTTAAAAGTGTTAACAATAAATTACACTATTTTAATATTTGTTTGTCGTAATCCTTCTTATTTCAATGGGTTATGAGAAATTCACCCTACTGTTCCAAGGTCCATCCTCCCACGTCATCAAAGGTTATAATACTCTCTGAGGTTGGAAGTTTTCATATCCTTTCTCATGGTAAATCAACCTGTGTTTGACATCCACAGTCTGGGTATTGCTTTGTCTCAAATGTTCTGCAGTATGGCATTAAACTTGTCTATCTCCATGGAGATAGGCAAGTGACACCATCGGGCCAATTACCTGTCATATCTGTGGAGGTGAGACCCTAGTCACCGCCAGAATATTTGTTTTTCATGGTTGAGCAATGAAAAAACATGAAATTCAATAAACTCAAGATAAATGTAATGCTACACTTTGGAACATTCCAAGCAAAACAAGTAACATCCATGGAGAAAAGCAGGTGGAGGACCCCTTTCGAAGGGTCTAGCAAACAACAGCCTTTGTCAAATTTTGGTGTGGAATTTGTATAGTCAATTATAATTTATAGTTGCAGACTTTATAACTGGTCTGATTGGGCCATGCAATTTTATGTCTTTATTTTAACTCCGAGTTACAGTCACTGATCTTCCTCCCAGGATCAGCAAAATGTTTAAGTTCAAAATTTTAGTTCAAGCTCCTAACAAATCAACAAGTGGAACAGTTAAGCTCTGCAATGGTGTCCTAAATACTTTAAAAGATTACTAGTAAACTTAAAATTAAAATATCTGCATTTCCAAGCCTCATCTTTCAACTTTCCCTGACAGACCTACAGAGACTGTTCGGACATATTAGGCAACGCGTTTTCAGGTTTCAACCCAATTTGCATATTTTCTCATCTTCTTCAAACCTCAGAGGAACCAAAGCAAAGTATCCCAAGAATGAAACTAAAGCATGTTGACACCTTAATTGCAACATGTCAAACCCTCAAAAAGATTAAATGTTCACTTTAAATGTCACCCATTTTCCATTTCATTATAATAAGCTGCTTTTAAGTGGCTCTATTTCAGGTCATATGTCATTTGCTTACATCCATGGTGATATTATTTTACCTGGAATGCTTCATAGTACGGCATTAAACATGTATATCTACCATTTGTTTAGTTACAAGTGTTTTCATTAGGTCTACTTGCATCAAATTAACTTTTTTTAGTGCCAATAAACCTCTGACCTGTAACTTGGTCTGTTTGTCTCCATGGTGACAGATAAGTTTAATGTCATGCAATCACGCAATCACATCTCCATGAAGATAAACAGCAGGTGGACCCCATAATGTATTTAAATAGGGCCAACATTTCCGTTTTTTAAAGGGTGACTCAGTTATAAAACTACATCACTCAGTTATAAAACTACATCACTGACTTCAGTTGCCTATGTCTGATTATCACAAGATGCACTTTTGAGGTTGTACTTTACCACACACTGACTATTTGTGACGCGAGGGCGGATAATGCCAGCTACTGTTCCCGATTAGCTTTAAAGGCATTGCTTGTTTATTTAGAGCATTCATCACATGACTAAAGCATCGCACTGCTCAAAATGGGAGCTACGAAACAATATTACTATCCACTAACAACTCCATGTATATACAAGTTTCAACACAGAGTCCGTAAGCCATAAGGGTCATTTATTTTATTTTTTTTCCTAAGATTTTTTTTTTTTTTTTTACATAATTCCAAAATTCAGGCCCGCTTCCTAACTTGTATGACTAATAATAAAAAAATGCTATGCGCTTTTAAAAAAAAAAACATCGTTGTTGCTGTAATAATAAAAACACCATTAATATTATTTACATAAACCGATTAAATTACAACATAAATTAGAAAATATTTACACCCAGAAGCAATACTGGATAGATTTCTATGTTGGAAATTTAATGTCTAATTTAAAACATTTGCAAAGAATGAAATATGTACAATTGAGCATTCACACACATACATACAAGCATACAGATGGCAGGACTTGGGTAATGACAACTCAGGATTTTAAATATACGAAATAGCAGTGGTTTTGTATCTCCACTGCTTGTAACAACAACTTTAAGAACACTGAATACTGGAGTCATTGTAAAGACGTTCCGACATAAGTTTTGAATGAACAATGTACAATAACACTGCAGCCATTTGGAGGAGGTCGTACAAACACACAAAAAGAATGAAAAGTTTGGTCTACTCTCTCTTTTCCTGGTAAAATTACTGTCCAATGAGACACAGGAAATCAGCGGATTTGCCTCCAGACAGCAGCGGGAGGGGAAGGTAGATTCACAGCCACGGTTTTGCCTTGAAATGTTCGTATATGAAAAAAAAAGTTGTCTTTGTCGACAATGTACAAGTCCTATGGTAGAAGTTCATATTTGTGACAGCAGTGCATCCAACTTCGCTTAGGAATTCTCAGATCACATATACACCCATCTCTCAATAGCACAATACAAAATATTCCAAAAAAGTCCAAAAAATTCACATAAAAGTTCTTATTTCCGGTGTTTGTCCATTTTGTCGGATGCTTTGTTGCCACTATCCGAAGAACCCTGGTTATCGCTCAGGTACATCTTGTCTGCTTGTTTGAGGGCTTCGTTCAGGTAGTTTTGAAGAGAGGTCATGGCGGCGCAGATGGCGGGGGCACCGAATCCGTGGGTGATGAGGCTGAAGTGGGTGAGGCAGCCCTGGATGCCCGGCTCCAGGATGGGTGCTGGGCGGGAGTTACCCAAGGGTGAGCGGTCCTGGGTGAGGAGGTCGGTGAACTCTTTGCAGATTTGCCTGGAGAGCAGAGAGAGAAGAGAGACTGTCAGCATTGTTTTCTAGCTTGGTGTTTGTTTTGCTAAAAGCCAAGACTTACTCGCAAAACCACAACTTGAAATATTGATTTATAAACTTTATGTAGTCTAGTAAATCATTTTTGTATTTTTTTCTCTATACCATAAACAAAATACATTGATAAAAGAAGCATAATATTGCATACCTCTGTCCTGTTTTAGATTTACCTTTCCTAATCTACAAATATTGTCTCATATAAATCTTTTATTTTTTTTATTTTTATAGTTTTCTTGTTTATTTAGAGCCTTAATCACATGACTAAAGCTTCTACAACACAATAGAACTATCCACTAACTGTGTACACAAGTTTCAACAGAGTCCATAAGCCATAAGGGACATTTATTATTGTTTACCTTTTTAATTTTTCAATAATTATGTTCAAAATAATTTTCATGTTAAGCTTAATGTGTTCAATCTTTGACAAAAAATAAATAAAAACAGAATTAAATGAATTCAAATCCACCGCTTATACAAGTAGGTTCATGATTACATATTACATCACATTTCATCTGCGCTGTTACTCAAGGCTATGAATTCCTTATTTTCTTCATACATATTCTTACAATGAGGTGTCAGTGTTTAAGAATAGCTCTCGCATGATAAACCAAGCCCTGCAAACATTTGAAAATACACAGCAATTCGTTGCAGTGGGTGTGTTCGCATGCTAATTAAAGCTATGTACAATAGACACTCACTTGGCAGCTAGGAGCATGTTTTTTCGGGAGTTGACTTCGCTGCGATCCACGTGCGGCCGGCCCAGGTACTCCGCGATAGCTTTGGCCGGGAACTCTGTCTCACAAACGTAACCAAAATCTCTGGCTAAATGAACCGCTTCACCTGAAAGATAGAAAGAGAATACAGTTACCAAAAAATAAATAAATTACATTACAGTAAAAAGAGGTAATATGACCTTTATAACAACAAAATTCTATATACAATTTCATTTTGAGTAATAAAATACTAGTAGGTAGGGCCAGAAAAAGGCATTATTGATACATTGATATAACAAAAATGCACACTAGACAAACTTTATTGATTCACGAGGGAAATCACTTGGACACGGTAGCTCACACATCATAATATATTATAATAACAAAGAGTAAAAATATAAATGGTAATAATAAATTCTACATAAGCAGCAAAAATAGCAAGAGACAGGTGTCAAATAATGCATAATTATATAAATGTTGACGTACAATATTTGTCATGTGATTTTGAGGACTTTTGAGTTTTGTCCAGTCAGATTATATACTTTATTTGAATTGAACTGAATTTAAATTGCATCACTTTTAAAATCAAGAGTAAAGAAATTAATACCACAATTTTAGCTTCCAAATATAGTTGTCAAAGATTGTTATACTTTAGTCAAGCCAAAATGCTGTTTCTTAAAGTGTGAAGTATTCTTAAAGAAACACAAAAACACATTTTTTGAGTTGAAAAATATAATTAATTAGATTTTCTAGATTGTTTTCTCAAATAGTAGTCAGATTATTTTGTTGCCATACACGCAAAGTTATTTTTCAAAAGTACTTCATGCAGGGCTACATTTGAGTGAATGGACAATAAACTATTAGTCACAAAATGGAATGAGATCGGGAACTACCCCTCAGAACCACAATTTTAAAGTAATAGGGTCTAATAAAGACTTTGACATTTCCAAGTAGTGAGACATCTGTAATAAACCACCACAGAACAATTCTTTTCTTCTCATTCCAGCTTGGGGGCATGTGAGCCAGTGAGATGGATAGATTCGAGTCTGCAGGGTGGTTTTGACTCGCTTGGTCCTAATAAGAATAATAATACTCTTATCTGTGCAAATGCTAGCCCGAGTTAGCCCGCAGCGCTAACAACACTGCTTATTGATAGATGCACACATTGCCAGAGGTTGTAGTGGGCTAAAACGGTAAGGTCATCTGATGCTCCTGGCTGGATTTGTGCAAGATAACAAGACCTAATTCAGCTTTGAAGATCTTTAAATAACAGAAGCCTGCAGCCTCTCCTCTGCAAAGAATACTATGTCCATTTATAAAAGTATCGGGGGAGTGCATGACTGTGGAAATATTAGCCTATGGCAGGTAAGTATGATTTAAAATGATAGTTTGATTGCAATATTGTTCAACATGTGATCTATAAATCTGGTTTAGTGCTTATAGTTAAGGCTGGGACATATATAGCAACGGTCTACAACCTTTTTTCCTCTGGTGAGCTACTTTTATAAAGCAAAAATGCCAGAGACAGCTATTCATTTCAATGGTCACAAGAAACTGAGTAAGAGTCACAGAGATGGGAACAGTTTGATGTCTACAAAACATAAACCATTACCCATTTATTAATGTACAATTTTAGGTATCAACATGGCGTGTTTACAGTGGTAATAGTCATTTGATTAATCAAATTTGATATTACACCAGAAGTATAATTCCAAAAATCCCTTGACGAGCTACTTGGAAGTCAGTGGAGAGCTACTGGTAGTTCCCGAGCTACAGATTGGAGACTCCTGGTATACAGAAATATAGAGTGATACTGTTTGCATTTAAAGGGCCCATTATCATGATTTTTTTTTTGATCTATGTGATAATGTTGTTTCCTCATCAAAACATACCTGGAGTTGCGGTTTGTTTTGTTTCATTCACACATGTTTAAATCACAAACCCTGCATATTTAGGCTACGTTCTTCCAACTTGTGATATCATGTGGTAATACAGAAAGTGCTCGATGGTGTTTTTTAAAGTCCATACATCTTCACTAGTATCATTTGGTTAATTTCAGTCCTGGAACTGCCAATCTCTACTGAACTAAAGGTAAAAGGTAGCTGTTAACTTGAAAACTATACTGCTTCATGACATCACAAGGTGGAATATGACATTTTGTGCTTTGGAGATGTAGACAGACTAATAATAAAGAGTTATTCAAACATATGTGAATGAAGCAAAACACAACTTCATTTATGTTTTAAAGAAGGTAACAGCAATATAACAAGGCTAAAAATTCACAAGAGTCAATTTTGCATTACATATGCTCTTAAAACTAACATATGCCGGCAGAGATTCTTTCTTTAAAATGTGGGTAAATGGTGTGTTGAATGGGAAGTATAAGCCCCTGGCAGGTACAAATTGCATTTCATTTCATTGCAAGGTTGTTTTCCTCTTATATGATAAATTGTTCTTATTTAGTGTTGTAGGCAAAGTTGGGGGTGTGCATTCATCAGTAAGTGACTCAAAGTTATAGCAAACTGTCAAAATAACAGATACAGCAAAGATAGAAATATTGTTTACTGTTGCATTCTAGTGTAATAGTTAAAAGACCCTTCAAGCTGTGACTTTATCATGTTGTGCAGAAAATGTTACAGCAGCAGTTCAAATTTTCTGATGAGGTATAACAATGATTCAGCATTTTTGGAATTGTTAATTGTATACTTTTATATATTATTAAAGTGATACTATGTAACTTTTCTGCTAGAAGACACACCAACTATTTGACTTTGCCTAGCACTAGACCAAGTTACAGGTCAGATCTGCAGAGAGGTGAAAGAATGCATGTTGTTCACAGTATTTTTTAGCAATAAGCAAACCTGTGAATGTCAATGCAGGAAGGACCCAGAATGCAAGCTAGATAAGTTTAATGCCATACTGTGAAACATTCCAGGCAAAGCTATAACAAGTCCATGTAGTCAAGCAGGTAGCAGACGTAACAGCAAAGTCACATAGCTCATCTTCAAGTGTATGCTAGATGCTTTCATATTGTTTTGACATGTTTTGGGGTCAGTCGGGACATTTATTTTACGTATTCTGACAATGTTCAAAATGCGGATTATCTGGGGAATGCATTTGCAAAGCAATAAAATATATGCGTGGGCTAAGATTCCCACGTTCTTGTAGCCTTAACTCTGCATTCCAGTGTGAGAAAACTGCAATTAAAAGCACTCTGTTTTGAGTGACATGTCATACCTTCGACTAGAGAGGTGAGCAGAGTTACGTTGGCTGCTTTCCTTCGGCCTGCAGGAAGATTGAGCCCGATTTTATCCAGTTTTTCTCTCAGCGACCGGCCACCATTTTTCGACTTGGCCCTGAAATAAAAAAACAAGAAATCTAAAGTCATTCCTTGGAAGTGATTTTGACACATGATAATAGAATTTCATGCAGTTTCACAGGGCAATAAAACTAGAGAAAATCTGACACACTTCACGAATCGTGAAGATGGACAAGATATTGATATAAAGATTGTTTTATAGGTAGAATTCTCTTATAAAGCATGTCCACTGTCTGCCGTCTGCATGTAGTTATGAAGTGATTTGTTGTCTGAAAATCAGGAAGTGCAGGGTTAGCATGCTAGCTGTTGTTGTAGAATTACTATGACAGCAGCAAGTTGTAAAATGCGCTTAAACTCATCATGGTGAATAATTAGGATGCTCAGGATGCATAAGGTAAGAGAGGGATAACTTTGGACCAAAGCAAACACTTTAAAATTAATTTGATTTGAAGTTTGGTTTTTTTTCCATTTTTAAGACTGTAAAAATCAGTCACAGTGCCTTTAATATTGGACTCTGGGCACAGTATAACCAATATTATAATCATTATATATTCAAAATCAGTGATATGTCCCAGTTTTATAGAAGACATGTCCCGGGTGTCCCTTTTGACCAATATGATCCCGCCAAGAGTAAAGAGAGGAATCTATTGTCATTTGTTAAGCTAAAATACATAAAATCATCTTGAAAATGACCATAAGGCAGAAAAAAAGTCCCTTAGATTATGGCTGCCCCACACGTGAATCAAGATTGGACAACGTTACGCGCTCTTTTCACTGATTTTATTTATACTAACCATTCCAACTTGGGTTTGTCCCAGTTTTGAATAAAAAAAATCTGGTCACCCTAACTAATATTGAATATCAGTACAAACAGTCCAGTTTAGGCGAGATCTGACCTAAAAAAAAAAAACCATAACGATCATCCAGGCGGCATGGAAGACACAAAACGCTTAAACTCTCCACTGGCCATCGTTGATTCAGTTTTCCGCATGACTGGAGACCAAGCTCTTTTTGCACACAGCGGGCAAGCGAGGCAGCATCTTTGGGGAGGCGAAAGAGGCGACCCCCACCCTCCCACCTCCACCCCACCGCTCCACATCTCCCCCTTCTTCTGTTGTGCTAAAGACCTTTCAACTACAGCTATATGACCTACTTAAAAACTGTGAATGCATGCTAACTCCATCCACGCAAGCTTAGACACATGGGAAGTAGAAAAGCTGCAATTTAAGCACAAAGAATAAGTCCACGTTTGTAAACATATGCGTCGTGAGGTTAGCGTCGTACTGGAATTTAAGTTAGCAGTGTGGCGTAAAAAATGGTCGCCAAAAAGATACCCTCTCGTCTGCAGATTGGCACTAACTATCGCGGATGTAACTTATCCTCAGAGGGGAGCGTACAACCAAAATTGCAGACCACACAAAGAATGTCACGAACGTAAAAAAAAAAAAAAAAAAAAAGGGAAAAAATATGAGGCTAAACAGAGACGAAAGCAAGCTGTGTGTTTAGAGAATGCTGGCTGGAAATAATAAAGCTAAGATGATGACGCTATTACTTTCAAGAAAATGTTTACTGTAAGATATAATTAAAGGAATCGAGTGAATTTTATACAAATGCTTCACTTTGTTGCGAGTTATTGCAGTGATACAATGTAATGCTGTGTAGCCTGTTATACTGTAGTAGCAACTTCTGCAACTCGCGTACAATTTAATCTTTGTAATGATGTTATCCTTATCTGAATATTATCAGGTTTTTAATTCAAATTCTAACATTTATAGTTTTATCAGTACACTAGAGCCCCTTGTACATAGAGTAGTCACGTTATTCAGAGGTATCAGTAGGCCTTTTACAAATCAGTTCTGATTCACAGTTTGCTACTGATTTGAGATCAGTTTAATCCTGACTTTCTTTTTTTTTTTTTTAATAGTTACAGGTTTAGTCTCAGTTTAGTCCCAATTTTGATGTGGTGTTAGTAAGTTCTATTAGGAAATAAACTGAGTACAATTAGTTAAAATAGTTAAGAATAAAATGAAGCCCTGATGCCCTTGGTGGTACACAAGACTGCACCATGACTATTGATATTTTAATTGTCTTATCAATATGAATTAATCACCAGAAGGACAATGTACTTGCAAAAAATGAAAAAAAAATTACAACCAAAATGACTCTGCTCTACCCTAACCTTCCTAGCCTGCATCTATGTGTGATTACTTTTGTCAGTCTGGTAAGGAACTGGAGATTTGAAATCACGATGGACACGTTCATTAAAATATGTAATGTTTAATGTAATATGTACAAATAGACTTATGCCATGAGAGAAGTAGATACCTGCGTAAAACTCCTCCGAGCAGAGATGCGTTCAGGCACTCTGGGGGTAACAGGCGTCTCTGGACCTCGGCCACAGTCACTTTGTATTTGGAGGTGGAGCTGAGCAGAGACAGGCGCCCGGGCACAGAGCAGAAAACCTCTGTGGGGTTGGACACCATTCCCAACAGGGACTCTTTCTGGAAGGGGAGGCCTACTGCGTTTCCTTTGGGCAGCGACACAGGTCCTGGAGAGGAAGATATAGAATAAGAAGGTTAAAATTAGAAAATAAAGTTGACGGGTAATATTGAGAACAAGAGCTTCAATGATAGTCTGGGTTCAGGAAATTTCATAATGAGCTCAATTTATCAAAATATTGCAAGAATACATTTATTTCAGGGTTTTGTTATGCACCTGGGGGTTTGAATAGAATTGATATAAAAATGTAAAATAGTTCAGCTGTTATTCAGGGTTGTTCCTGTTATGTGCAATTTTGAAAATTATACATGGGTTTCAAACTGATGAAAAATAAGGAGTATATCCATAGCAATTAAAAATTTCAAACAAAATATTATGTCTTTTGATTAGGAAAAAAGGAAGTTGAACCCTAAGAATAGCCTACTAATTTGTATCAATCTAAAACCCACTGTTATAATGTTGTAAATTAGAAAACAACTGTTGTACAAGTGCTTTTAAAAGATTTCATGTTTTTCAGATGAAACTAAGAATATTCTGTTTAAAGGTGTACTGTGTAACTTTTCTGGTAGAGGGTCCGCCAGTTACTTGTCTCCATGGAGATCTTATGTTTTACCTCCAATATTCCAAAGTATGGCACTGGTAAATGGTAAATAGTCACATTTTTATACAGTGCTTTTCCACCTTCACTTTTACAACAAGGAACCACTCATCCATTCACACACACACTCATACACCAGTGTGCGCTGATACTGGGAGCAAGGTGGGTTAAGTGTCTTGCCCAAGGACACAACGACAGCATTCATCTGTGGGAGCTTGAATCACACCAACAACCTGTGGGTCAGTGGATCTGACCGCTCAACCAATGATCCTTATGTCGCAGGATTTGAACCACGAAACCACTGAGCTACTGCCAATCATAGAATTCCATAGAAGCATCTCATAGAAAGAAGTAGGAGATGCCACCAGGGCAATTTACAGGTGAGATCTGTGAAGAGGTGACCCCACTCACAGTAAGAAAGTATGTTTTTAAAAGTATTTTTGAGCAATAAAAACACCCATAATCAAATAAATGCATTTTATATAAGTAATGACCATATAATGCCATAATGTGGGACACTACAATATTATCTTCATGGTAGTGGACCCCCAACCTGAAAAGTTACACAATGCACCTTTAAATAACTGACAGTTATTGTGCTATATCTCTCCAGTAAGTAACCAGAATTTCAATTGGACTCATTATTTGACTCCCAGGTCCCAACCGTCCATATACACAGCCGTTGTGCAATGACGTTTTTAATGTAGGACTCTTCCTGTGTATGCGCCCAGGCCTTAATCATGTAATCCTTTACTGTTTGATGGATGTAATAACAAGGGAGAGTGTGCGTGCGCAATTCAGGTCAACTGGAGTAACCCAAATGTCTACAAAACACAAGAAACTTACAGCAGCCCTTTGAAATATTATGTGGTTTCGCTAAACATTGGTTGCTGGTACAAGAAGCGAAAAGCCCTCATGCCAAAAACACCAAAACAAACAGGTATACTGACACAAGCCTTTTTTTTCACAACCACAATTTGAGAAAATAATACTTGCAACAATCACCACGGCAACCACTGACAACGACAAACAAAATACATTCCACAACATTACATACAGAGAGTAAAATAGCTATAGCTTCATCCTCACCAGCCAGCATGCCTCCCTCATAATATGTCCTCTGAATGCGTTCAAGATTGCGGACACCTCGTAGCCCTAATACTGGGACAAAATCACATAGAAAAGTCATTACACTGCAAAAAATCTGCCTTCCAGTCTCCTCTCCGGCTGGGAATGACATGCTATTGTTTACAAAGGGGAAACCTAGATGGCCCATAGCGTGCCCTAGAGCCTGGGAACTACTATATAATGAGGCATCGGTGACTCCTTGCAACCAGTCTGGTCGGTTTGTTTGTGTAATGTAGTAAGAGGATTGTTCTCTTGTCTGTTGCGCTTATAAAGGTTTAAAAAATTGAAAAGCGTTTGGGCTTACAGAATGACATTAGACATCAAAGTATAAAATGGCAAAGACTGATAGTGTTTTGATACTACTTTACCACATAAAATCAGGGCTAAAGCAACAATAATAGTCGAGTTTCTAGTCTAATTTCTTACGTCAGAGTCTAAACTATGTTTTTACTGCATGCATTTACAGACAGAGGATTGGCTGTAGACCTCATCATTAAAAAGACATGACAAAATCTGTATCTCGATCAATAGCAATGTCCTGTATAAAAGTCTGTAACATCAGGTGAGGTTGCACATTAATTTCATGCTAATTACTGTTGGCATTTCATTGCATTGTTTACTCTGGGCAGCTTCCTCATGAAATTATTTGCTAATAATTGAGATAACGCCCAGTGATGATTTATGAGATCAGCAGAAAATATAAAAATAAAAAAGAAACACTTCTTTAGAGGAAGTTGGCTATATTTTATGAGCCAAACGCTGCAACCCCAACCGCAAAAAGCAATATAATCCTATGCATTTGTCATATTCTGTGATTGGTTCTCTTTGTCAATAAAAATCCATGAATCACGCCAGTAATTCTAAGCTGTGGTGTAACGTTAGCACCGGTGATGGAGCTAACTGTGAGTCAAATTTAATAAAACACACTGGGAATCAGATCACACTCAAAACAGTTCAAGTCTCAACACATTACAGAAAGGACCTTCACATGCAAGCCCGCTGACACACCCCTGCAAATGCCAAATTCAACTTTACGATCATAATTTCCCTGTAACAAGATCAAGACAAGCAAGAATAAACACACTAAACAAATAATTCCTTCAGTTATTGCTTGGAATAGTTTTTTAATGCCATACTTGTAGTTTTATCCTTGAATAGTGTATATTTTTAAAGGTGCATTCTGTAACTTTTCTGGTGGAGAGTCCGTCCGTCACGTGCATTTCTCCATAGAGATGTTATCGCTTTGTCAGGAATGTTTCACAGTATGGTGTTAAACCTTTCTATCGCCATGGAAACCAAACCAAACCAAGTTACAAGTCAGATCTGAGGAGAGGCAACCCCACTCACAGTAATTATTATTATTTATTTATGTATTTTTTGGAGCATTCTAAGCATAGAAATTACATAATCTTAGAAACAAGCAGGTGACGGACCCTCCACCAGAAAAGTGACACAGTGCACCTTTAAGCAACAGTACTCTTACTTGAGTAGAAGTTTAGTTGCTCTTCCCACTGTAATTATGCGCAAGTCTATAAAGTGGTAAAAGTTTTGTGTTGCTAATAATTTGTGTTTATTTCATGTTATTACTGCTGGTTATATTTTTGCTCTTTGTTATTATATTTATTGTGATGTGTGAGCTACTGTGTCCAAATAATTTATGTTGTGGATCAATAAAGCTTGTCTAAGACTAGGTTTATTGTAATTTGTGTTGTGTCTTCTTTAGAAATATAAAAATCTGCATTAGTCCAATGAGGTCCATTTGGTCTTCCGATACTTTAATTATTAGGTTCTCTTGGTCTAAAAAAAGAACCTAATAATTAAAACAATCTGCATTATTTAACATTTGATCTGCTATATTAACTTCAAACTTCTGCCCTTGTAATTACATGTATCAATACTTTTTAATTCTACTTCTTCATTCTTTAAAGTAACAGTACTCCTACTTGTTTACAATTGTGGCTACTCTACCCACCTCTGCTCCTGTGAGGATTTTGAGGTGGCTCAATTCCTTGACAGCTCACCTGTCAGTTGTTCAAAAGGACTGCATTTCGCCAGTGGGCATTCTTTCAAGCACCTTTACCAGAGAAAAGGCTAAGGGATCACGGCAAGCTTAGATAAGTGCGTCTCTGGGGGATTAGGGTTTGTGTGCAGTATAAGTGCAGAATAGAAAGGCTCCTGCTAGCTATCGTGACACGCTGCTATAGAGGTAATTGACATCTCAAAGTGGAAAAAATACACTTCTTACGGTAAATTTCGCTTGCCAGTAATTATGGAATGCGGTTGCACAAAATGGCGCGTGTAACCCAGGGTGAAATTGTGCATTTTCCAAAACAGTTTTTCAAAAGAGAGCATAGTTAAAATACTCTTACCTTTTTTGATGACTGTCTGATCGGCCATAATAATACTGTGGTCCTCAACGTGCTGTGAAGGAGAGAAAGGAGGTGTGAATTGTGTTGAAAGCCCAAAAATTCATGCTTGGTAGTAAAATGTGGAATGACATTTGTGCACGATTCGATGAGAAATTAGCACTATATTTAATCCACAAACTCTGAACTCTGGATTTGAGTAATGCCACTGTATAATGCAACTAAAAACAACAGCTTAGAAAGATAACTGCGATGTATAGCCTGGTTCATAAGCTACTTTCTGAAGCCTATTCGGTTTAAATTATCAATAGAAAATGTGTATGGTATTTACATTTTAAGTGAAAAAATACTTTGATTAGATTGGCCAATTGTATTTCAGGTCACATTTATAACATAGGATTTCTTAGGCTGTAATTTCCACATTGTTGGTGAAATGTAAATCGTGCTCTGACTGAATTGAATGTAAAAGAAAAAAAAACTGGTATAGGTTTAATAAAATCGTAAAATTAAAATGTTTTGCTGTTATGCCCTCACCTGAACGTCGTCAAGTCCGTGTCCCATATCGTGCATTCCCATGTTATCACCGATTACCGACGAGTCAATGCTGTGCCCGTGCGTCCCCAGCAGCTCGGGCCGCCTGAAGCCTTCGCCCCTCCTGACGCCGGACGAGCCTCCCTCCAGGCCGAGGATCTGGCTCGCAAGCCCGCTTCTCCCATGCGAACCGAGCCCGTCCTGTCCCTGCCTTCCGGACCACGGCTGCTGTTGGTTCGAAGACTGGGACTGGTGCAGGGAGTTGATGTTGAAAGGGTCGCCGAGGTGGGAGTAAGGGTCGCCGGATTGCGGGTAGGAGATGGGCTGGTACGGAGGGGGGAAGTAGGGCGGTTGGAAGTCCGAGGCTGCCGAGTGTGAGAGCGAGGGAGACGGGCTGTAGAGGTGCTGGCTGACCGCTGGCAGGTGAGGCAGCCGGGGATTCCCATTGCTGCTGTCATGCCTATCCTGAAAAACGGTTAAAAAAAAAAACATACACAGTGTAAATTATGATAAAATAACTAAATAAATCTGGAGGTAGACGCTAAAAAATCCGTGCGTAATAGCTCCAAGTAGCTACAACATGGCAATTACAGTTGAACTTAAGTATTTCCAGCCTATATTTTACCAAAAAAAAGTAAAGTGGTGCAATTAAAAGTATGTTTAGATTGTATTTTGGCTAAATTATTAACAAATGTGAGTCTTGATTTTAAAATGCAAACTTTAAACACGCAACGCTTTTTCAACTTTTGTCCTTTTATGCGTCGTCTTTATTTTAACTCCAAATAGGCACCCTTCGTTCCCCCATTGTGGCTCGCTGTCCTTTGTGCATTTTAGCTGATGTTATTATGGTAAGCTAAGTTGGTATTGCATTAGCATGACAAACTTCAAGCTAAGTAGAGTCGCGCGTGTTCAAATGCAAAGTGCGTTTCGGCGTCAGCTCTCACAGCGAGTTTTTCCACCGTCTCGAAACTTACCTCGCAGTCATCCTCGTATTTCACGTTGTCCGCTAATTTCCACAACATGTTTGCAGTTTCTCTCCGTTACACAAAATATGCTAATTATGAGATTTGCGTTTTATCCAGATGCGCAAAAGTAGAAAGCTTTCCCGTGAACATGGAACCAAAAAGTTGAAGGTAAAAAAAAAAAATGCAGCGAAGTGACCTAGCAGCACTTCTCAACACGCTGCTACGGCAAAAAATAAGCACGTAAGACAGGCTATCCTCTTCTCTACTCCAAGTGCAGTTTGGTTATGTTGTGTACGCGAGTTAAAGCGAGCATTTAAGAAACTTGACTCCCTCTTTGGACAACACACAGATGTTCAGTCCCACTGGAGCAAAGCAGACACCGGAGCTCTATAACTGCACACCGAAGTGAAGTGGGCGTAACCGTGCCTTGCGCCATGACGTCCCCAAAAAAGAAAACTGTAAAATATTGCTGATTGGCGGGGGAGCTGTCCAATCACAGCTTTGTCCGTCTGTTCACTGCTGGCCAGGCCACACATGGATTGTACAGTCCTCTTGATAGAAACCCTTAGGGCCAAAGTAGTAGTTAGACGACTGTTATTCCAATATATTATTTAAGTGGTGTTAAATTTTACTCCACAATTCGCTCATTAGTGTTATTGTTTTCTTTTTTTCCCAATTATTCTAGATATAATCGTGCAACGAACATATTTAAGCGCGCTCAAATGCATTTACAACACCAATTTGCACCTAGTAGCATGTAATTAAATTAATATAAACATCTTGGTTTAAAGTAATTTACTAATGTAATTGTAAATGATCCACATACAAACCAGTTACATCGCGCCTACACAATTTAGTGAAAATGCCTCAAGGCCAATCACGTGATAAGTTATTATTATCAGCAATTGCATCTAAACAAAACAAAAAATTACTACCGGAATCTGTAACCTTTAGGGATCACAAAGGAAAAAACGTTTATAAAGATATTGATAAATCATTATTAGCATGTTTTCATTTTTAAATAAGAAAACTGTATTTATATAGATATCCTTTGTTTAGCTGTGTTCATCGTGTTTTATTTAACTGATTCGTTTAGAAAGTAGAATTACTATTATTTTTACGCACAGTTGTAACGTAAGCACGCAGCATCCAAAATAAGTCTAAATCATTATTATTTACTATCATTTTACTTAATAAAACACCAAGGCCATGTTATAAAGATATGTTTAAATATTCAGTATGTTTAAAATATAGTATTTTACCAGTCAGGTTCATTTAAAAGTAGTTCACTAAGTAACTTGACGACAAACGGTGTGTCTAAAATTAGTCTTTGTGTCCTAAATGCCATCACCAGTGACAGTTCGAGTCATATAATCGGTGTGAGAATGGGAATAGCAGGTATTGAAGTAACCGTGACATTTTAATGCAGGTGTCTTCGCGGCGACAGCTTTCATAAACCGCAGATGGGCCTCGGGGCTTGGCTGCTCTCTCCGTAAACCTCTGGCGCTCAGAGCGATCTCAACAAACAGTCTTTTCTTTCGCTCATTTACATTTTTGGTGGAGTTTTGTCATTACTCAAAACAAGACAAGCTTCTTTTAAGCCGTGATAAAAATCTATAGGGAAAAAAATGAACAAAAGACACGATTTACGATTTCAGTTGTTTGCAACCCATTAGCAAATTAATGTAGTTTCATTCATTTTTACGCGCGAAATATTATCCTAACTCGTCAATCACACTGCGCACGGTTGTCAGTTTTAATTTAACATTTTGGAGGTTGTATTTTATTATTTTTTTATGAGTTAAAAGCAACGTTCTCAATAGTTTTAAAAGCTCTGCAGCGGAAAGTGAAGAGAAATCGAGATTACACGTGTTTTGTGTAATCTTAAATTTGTTGGTTGGTCACTGTCTTGAAAAAAAGGATGCATGGATTAATTGTTATGGTACGTTGGACCAGACACACAAATCCATAAGTACACAAGGATGCAGGCCTTAAGGGAGTTATTCACGCATGGCCTCACGGTGGTGCTTGGGACAGTCCTGGATGCGCAGCCTGTCACTCCAATCACGGGCCAGTGCGCTGACAAACCGCTCTTCTGCAGTGTAGGTGAAAGGATTACACTGAGCCGGGCAAATTAAACGCGTCAAATTAACTGCAGAAGATTATAACGTGGAATTCGTGAGTGTTATTGCAAGTATGTTCATAGTTTTAATCCATTAGGCTACGTTTTGTTGCATAATAACAACCGTTTCATGCGTAAAATTTCAAATAACGCAACGATAAATGACAAATATCGACCTATATTATTGTACATGAGCCACTGAAAGTGCTGATGTTTTTAGTCAAATCAAAAGCATTTTTTATATTATAATGTGTTTAGTTTTGTTCATTTTATCAAGGCTACTTCCACAGGTTATTGCAGGTCAAATCAGAATGTTACCTTGCATTAAACCAAACTTAGAAGTGGGTAGGCTCACTTTTTTCACTTTTGTATGCCAGAAATCTTGACACACACACACACACACACATGCATACACACACATACACACACATGCAGGCTCTCGAGGTATTATTAAATTTCATCCAAGTTGGTAAAACGCCGTTAAAACACAGATAATAATTGCAGGTTTGTGGAGAAGAACACAGCTGTAAAATGTACGGACGAGAAAGGCTGACTCACCCTCCAGTCTATCCTCTCGATCACAGACATGTGGAAGACTCTGGTGCTACAATCCCACTGAGACACGCGCAACGAGTGAATCCATCACAGCTCTACGGCGCAGACTTTACCTGGGGGTCGTGCAATGCGCATGCGCACGTTCAATTACACCTGAATGAGGGGGTAACATCAAAACAATAGAGCAAACCCTTTGATAAAAATCTATAGCAGAGATTCTTTTGTGGGAGGTTCCAAACTTACAGTAAAAGACGACGGGGAGTGGAGTCGATGTATTTGAATGAGAAGCTGCAGGGGTTAATCTAAATAATGTCTACACGGGCCTAAACTAACACCATTTGCATTTTATTTAATACTGAACAGCAGCTGAGGGAAAGCATCACGTAGGCCACCTTTTCTTTACTGGATCAATTGGTTAATTAACTGGATGGAATAGGCAGTGTGACAACTGTGTCAAAACCTGTTAATGCAATACTTTTACGCACGTATCATTTAAAATTAGGCACATGAATTACGATATTTTGCAGCAATAACTATAATCAAGTCATTGCTAAGATCAGTCAGCCCTATAATGCAACTTTTTCAGAGTTTATTTTTAGATTAAAGTGGCGGAACAAAGTGAACAACAGCTTGGATTTTATTTCATTATTTTTCCTACTTGAAATATTTTAACAACCACTGCTTGTCTACTATTAACAACACAGCATCATAGAAAGTGTGTAGCCTTTAATTGTAGTTACTGAAAACACCTAATGTAGTGAATCATCATATAATTATTATGTGTTACTAGTATTGTTACAGAGGTTAAAGTTAAAGAAAAGGTGAAAATGTAAACATGGGGGGATTTCAGAATGAGGTAATTCCACCCCCGGAGCCAGAGCGCCTGAGGCTGACCAAAAGAATCTGCTTTCAAAAGCTACTGAAGCTTTTTAGGCCGAAAATGGCTCGCGTTATCTGATCTCCCAAATACTTGAGCTTAAAACTAATGATCACATCAAAGTGGCTCTCCCATGGGCCTGAGAAACTCATTCTCGGATCAGACCATTATATTTTTGATCTACATCGCTTCACCTGTCATAAAGCTGCCAGTTCTGTCCAGTTTTGAATATCTGCAGCTTGAAAATACAGTTTATACAAAGCATTTCTTTTATTATAAAGAAAGTGACTTGAATAACATGGCCTAATGCAACAATTACGCTCGGATTATGTATGCAAAGTGTGCGTAAAACTATTGCGTAATTGCAGCGTGTCTCTTTTTGGAGCAACTCTGGCTTGAAAAATACCAATAAACCATAGGCCCAAGACATAAGAATAAGGATTAAACGTAAAATGAAAATAGCCTACTTTTTCTGCAGTTTGATATTTTGGTTTACTTTGTTTTATTTTTTCGTTTTTAATTGAATCGTGTTAGTTTTATGGGTGGAAAAAGTCGCCTTTAGGCCTCTGTGCGCAAAAGGCTCCACCATGGCCTTCAGTAAAAACACAGGCTTATACGAACACATACATTTGATTGTGGTAGCAGGTCAAGAAGAATGTAGCTATAGATTATGATTTGTAATTGCGGATTCTGTTATGAATGATCTGACAGCACCAAATTTGGGATGAAAGCGGTTGGTCACTAACAATATCTCAGGGTCTGCCGCAGGAGGAGGACAAGAAGACAACGTGTTTATTTGAAATAGGGCCACAGCAATTGGATTATTTATGGTGTAACATTATATTGTGTAATGAGAAGCAGACAATTCAGTTTGCTTGTCCTGGCTTTAACAAAACCACTCTTCCATACTGAGTGGTACGTTGCCCTCTGCTGCCCCCCTGTGGTCACAAAGCCGCATTACTTTTCTTGCTTGGTAAGTAAGCTTCATAAACACCATCTGTAATACTTGTCAACAATGAAAGTATTGCATCAAAGTCTCTTAAGAAATCCAGGCTTATCTGAAATCCCAAGTTGAAACCATAGACTGTATAATGGTATTATTTACCATTTTACCATTTGGCTCGACAGAAGAAGACCAGAGAGCACAGATGAAACTGAACAAAGACCTGGTGAAAGGAGGAGGGACAGGTTTTACACTATTTTCTACTACTATTATAAATAAAGTTAACTAAAAAAAAGTGTATGAACCTACATTTTGACAACTGACCATGTGAAACAAAAATATATTTAAAAAGAAAAAAAGAAAAGAAAGAAAATAGCATACTATAGGACATTTAAAGATACACATTGTCACATTTTTATATAGCGCTTTTCCACCTTCGAGGCACTCAAAGCACTTTACAACAAGGAACCACTCACCCATTCACACACACACATTCATACATCAGTGTACACAGACGCTGGGGGTAAGGTGGGTTAAATGTCTTGCCCAAGAATACAACAACAGATTTCATTTGTGGGAGCTGGAATCACACCGCCAACTTGTAGGGCAGTGGACCTGACCGCTCAGTCAGTGAATGTTAATGTTGAGAGCGGGATTCAAACCGCCAACCTTCAGATTAGTGGACAGCGGCCTTAAATTATGCTTTGTCTCAGATGTTCCACAGTATGGCGTTCAACTAAATTTTGCATTATCCTTTTTTTTTTTACTGCAAATAAATCTTTTTGGGGAAAAAAACAAAGCAAAAAAAAACTTACGTGGATAGGCTAAGTAATTATAGTGATATTAACCACATATACAAAAATAATAATAATTATAAAAATAATAATAAATTCCAAACATTCACATCTTAATCTTAATCCAGTAGATTAATTTGAAGATGTGTTAGATGTGTGTGCAGATGCGTTGAAATATTTTAATGTCTCAGTAACACACAAAGAACACCTGTAAAAATGTCCCGCCTTGTGAGCTCTCTTATGGTTTAGGATGGAGAAATAAGTAAAATATTTCTTTCAGACTGAACTGCTGATTAGTCTTTCACCTTTGTGTTCTCAGGTGAACTGTCAGATGAATGTTTTTGAACAAATGTTTTCTCAGATTGAACAGCTGAATGGCTTGTCTCCTGTGAGTTGTGATATGTGAGACCACCAGATTACGTAAACTTTTGATTACTCCAGTGTCCATATCTCAGATTATAACCCAAAACATGCTACATAGGTCTCCAGGAAGAATAGCTAATAGGTAAGGTCAATTAAATACAATCAATAAACCTGCTCAGGGCCTACAGGTGGAAATTACGACTGGCGCTACAACCTGGTACAAAGCATCTCTTCTGTTAAGGTTAATGTAAATTGTGCACTGTCCCTGTCTCATTAAATAAATAAATAAATTCTACTCCACCTGTCTTTAAATGCATACAAACCTCACCTGAATCGTAGAACTATATGGACAATTTAAATGATCATCTATAAACATGAAGGCCCTATGTCTTTGTATGGCACTTTAGTGGAGGGAGAAACGATGACCGCTCAGGAAATTTATAAACACACAGCAGTAACTAAAGGTTTTGTATGCAACTATTCCTTAAAAACATTCTGAAAATGTACAAAGTGATAATGGTATGTCAGATGTTGAATGAGCCAGTTTTAATTCTGGAAAGGGTAAGTAATTATAGAGATATTAAACACAAACCAGGTCCAAACATCTGCATTTTTAATCTTAATCCAGGACATTCTCTTAAAGAATATTGTAACATCTCAGTAACACATGACAAAATCACGTTCTGTTCAGCCTCCGAGTGATTTCTCTTGTCTTTTCAGATCAGAGCTTGTTGTGTACCATGTATTACAGACAGAACAGATCTAACAGATGTCTTTAGATTTGTCTATGTGTATTTTCGTGTGTGCTATAAGATTACAGTTTTTAGCAAATGACTTTTTACAGATTGTACAGCTGTAAGGCCTTTCTCCAGTGTGCGTTCTCATGTGTAGTGTAAGACTACCATTTAGGGTGAATGTTTTCTGACACAGTGAACAGCTGTAAGGTTTGTCTCCTGTGTGTGTTCTCTCATGTACTATAAGGCCATTCTTTAATGTGAATGCTTTATTACAGATTGAACAGCTATAAGGTTTCTCCCCCGTGTGCGTTTTCTTGTGCACTGTAAGACCAATCCTTTTGGCAAATGTTTTCTCACAGATTGAACAGCTGTAAGGTTTTTCCCCTGTGTGAGTTCTCATGTGATCTTTGAGACTAGCAGAATGAGCAAAATCCTTCTCACAAATAGAACAGCTGTAAGGTTTTTCTCCTGTGTGTGTTCTCATGTGTACTGTAAGATTACTGTTATTGGCAAATGTCTTTTTACAGATTGAACAGTTGTAAGGTTTCTCTCCTGTGTGCGTTCTCAAGTGTACTGTAAGATGATTCATTAAGGTGAAAGTTTTCTCACAGAATGAGCAGATGTAAGGTTTGTCTCCTGTGTGCGTTCTCATGTGTACTGCAAGTTTACTCCTACAAATAAAAAGTTTCTCACAAATTGAACAGCTGTAAGGTTTTTCACCTGTGTGTGTTCTTACATGTACTGTAAGATTACACTTTTTGGTGAATGTTTTCTTACAATGTGAACAGCTAAATATTTTCTCTCCTGTGCGAACTCTAGTGCGTTTTTGTAAAACCGGTTTAGAACCAAGTCCCTCTTTACCCACAGAGGGTTTCTTCCTTTCAGCTCCTTCATCAGTTCTTGACTCGTCTCCAGAGTTTACAGTGGCACAGGTCTCTGGTACAGACTTGTATTTGGGGGATTTTTGTTCAGATGTGTTTCTGGCTCTGGTTCTATCAGCCTCTTTCTTCATTTGTGCTGGTGAACAGCTGAATGGAGGTCTCCAGTTGTCATCATTGTCGGTGTCAGAGGAGTGGTCTGTGTCCCCATCAGTCTCTGAGTGGAAATGTGGCTCTGATCTGATTTCTTCTCCCTCATCTTTCGTCTCGGACTCATCTTCTGTCTTCACACGAACAGTAGTGTACTCTGGGATAGACCTGGAAATAAATATTAAATCAATGTAAGTAGTAAACAGAAAGTTTACAATGATAATAGCCTGTTTCGCTCCTCGGTTGATTTACTCAGAACACTCCAAAAGCGTAAATGATTAAATTAATGCATAGCTGTATGTGACTGAAAGTGCCTGAAACTCACACTGGAAGTTGCTCTTCTTCCTGTTTGATGCTATGTTCTTCTGGCTCCTCTTTAATCTGCGTAGTTTCTGAGTCCTGTTCTGAACCAGGAAATCGCACAAAGAGGATCTGGACATCTGACGGAGACAATGGAGAAATAAAGGTGTGAATTCCTTACACATACATGTGCAATGCTCAATAAATCATGTCCTGTGAAATAAAGAAATATGTGAATCAAAACATTAACTGTATATACACATCAGTTGAAACTGGAACTTAAATGATTCTGCAATGATTTTTTGTGCCATCATACTCAGACCTGTGGACCAGTGATTTTCTACATCATATTCTTCTTTAAAAAAATAAAAATAAAATAAAAAATTAAGAGTAATATTGTAACATTACAAGAACACACACTCATGTTCTGTCCATTTACCAATTTTACATCTGACTTCTCAGAGCTTGTGGCAAACCATGTATTATAATTGGAACAGTTGTAAGGTTTTACTCCAGAGTGTTCTATTATGATTTTTGAGTCTTTCTCATAGATAAAACAACTGAATATTCTCAGTCCTCTTCATTGGCTATGTTTACACACGCACGCACGCACACAAACACACAAACAAGACAATTTGATTTCTTTAATTACTGAATGATTGAAATGTCACGGTGGCTGAGTTCACTTCAGATCAAAAAGGTTCTAGGTTTGATCCCCAGGTCATCCCAGGTGTTTCTAAAACTAGATTTCACTGGTTCATGTAAATACACACCACAAATCAGATCTCATTATTGGGTTATTTGATTGCTACTGGTCATGTAGATGTACTCACTGTTGGTTTGTAAAGAGTGCTCCATGTCCCCCACAGATATTAAGTGGAAATGTGGCTCTGATCTGATGCCCTCTCCTTGTGTCTCCTCTCCGTGCTGAGTTTGTCTTTGTTGAAGTGGTGAGGACTCGTCTTCTGTCTTCACACAAACAGCAGTGGACTTTGGGACAGACCTGGAAATAAATCAAAAACATGATCATCACATTAAAAAAATTACATGTTCAAAATGAGTGTTGTTGGAGCAGTGTTCCTAGACCTCAAGAAAGCATTCGATACAGTCAACGTTCACATTTTACTCAATAAATTATCTAACTTTAACTTCTCCTCACGCACTGTACACTGGGTGGAATCCTACTTAACAGAGAAGGATCAGTTTGTAGAGTAGAGTATTCTACATCATCAACTTGTGTAAACCGGCTGGGACTACCACAGAGCTCAGCTTTGTCTCCATTATCATTATGTCTTTATAGAAATGATCTCCCAAGTAGCTGCAGATCCAATATTCAGTGACAGAAATATACAGATGACGTGATCATCTACGTCCATGGAAATAAACAAATATCAAGCAACTCAAGAACTGACATCAGCAATGAACACAGTTTCAGAGTGTCTGCAAAGATCCCAACTGATCCTTAATATATCCAAAACGGTCAGTATGTTTTATTCTAAAAAACTCCCCCTGTACGGATAAAAGGAACACCTCTTTAGACAGTTAGTCATTTTAAATATCTAGGAGTCATAAACTCAAATTCAAACAGTAAGTAAAAAAGTCAGTAAACAAAATTAAGTTCAATTTGTCAAATTCCAAACACATAAGAGACAATCTAACAGCTGGAAGCAGCTAAACTGTATTTTAATGCAATTATTGTTTCTCACATGACATACTGCATGATAAACTGGGCCTCAGCATGCAAGACCACTCTGAAATCTGCTGAAATAGTATATAAACAAGCTCTTAACATTTTAGACAAAAAACCAAAGACACAACATCACTGCATTACTTTGAAGAAACAGAACATATTAGGCTGGAATAACATGATAACATTTGCAGACACTATTCTGTGTACACAATTTTACATGGTCTGGCCCCTGTCCTACTACAAGAATTTGTTAAAAAAAAATAAAATCAGAACAGATCAATAGCAAGCTCCAGATGTGATTGTATAATACCATCACAGAAAAGTGCCTTTGGACAGGCTGTATTCTCTTTCCATGCCTCTCAAACCTGGAACACCATTCCAGTGACTATACATGAGCTATTTACACTCAGCTCCTTCTCTGCTCATCTTAAATCATATTAGGCAATCAGATCTGTCCAAACAACTGAACTTAAACAGCACCTTTAGTACATGAGCCGGGGACTGCTATCATATTTGTATATAGACCTGTAAATAGGGACTACAGATGGAAATTAGCAGTCTTGCTATAATCTGGCATATTTACACTGCAATGTTGTAGATGTTCATTAATATGCACTGTCCCTATTAAATAAATAAAAAAATAAAATAAAATAGAGTTAATGCTGTGCATATGTAAGTAATAAGAGTATATGTCTGATCTGTACATTTTAATACTAATGTTGTATGAGTGTGTTTTATAGTGCATGAGTGGGACGTGGGAGCGATTATTGTGTTTTATGAATTGTGCGGGTGATGTGGCTTGTCCCAGTCTAGCAGGGGACTAAAAATGGAAATTAGCCTTGGCTACAATCCTACATATTTAAAAGTACATGTTTGTCTCTTACATCATCTTGTCTTTTAATATGCATTGTCACTTTAATAAATAAATACAAATACAAATTAATGTGGGAAATTCTTCTTGCTTTGTTAAATAAATAAGAAAATCAACCTCAGTTAAATAGACTTACTTGCAACCTTTGGATTTCATTGTTAATTAGTACTAAGTTACACACGTTTTGCAATTGCTTAGAACAATAATCATAATTTTAATTAACATAAGACTAATTACACCTCCCTATTTAAGCCTCACATTTGAAGCAGCTCTCCCTTCTGTTTGAGGCACTGTTCTTCTGGCTCCTCTTTAATCTGTGGCGTCTTTGTGATTTCTTTTGCCTGGAGACTTCGAAAGTCTACACTGTACCATCAGTTTTACAAAGACATACCTTTCATGACTTCCCAGACAAGGATTTACTGTTAAATTATAGTGGTGTAACAATATCCAAGTCTAACGATACATTATCGTCACGGTATGAACCTCACGGTATGATATTTATTGTGAAAGCTCATGATACGGTAGGGAGGCTCACGATTAGGGATGTAACAATATCCAAATCTCTCGCGATATGCATCTCACAGTATGATATATTGTGATATTTTGTGGAGGCTAACAAACTGTGAATATGCTTCTTTTTCCTCTTAAAATGCCTTGACAAGACTTAATCCAAAGAACTAAGACTTAAAAGGCTTAGAACTGTTTCTTCTTGTAGTCTACACTGAAATGGAGCAAAGGATCATGGTCTGTGTAGTTCCCTCCGTCTTTTTATTAGCTATTGCTGCACCGTAACTCTTAATTTAAGCAAAGAGACTTGTAATTCAATTTTTATTGCAAGAACTTTGACAATACGATATCACGATATTTCAATTATTGTCACATCCCTATTAAATTAACATTCTGTAAATTTGTACTGCACTGGAGTTTAAAGTTTAAATAAGCCTGAACCCAACTTTTTTTTTTCATTTTTTTTTTTTTATCTGATAAAAGGTTTCATGAGGTTCTGATCATAGTTTTACATTTTAAAGTAAACCATTGTATGAAATCTAGTAAAATGTATGTGAAACACTCTCCTGGGTAGCTACAACAATTTTCTGTGGTCGGGAGTTGACTAGTTGACCGCAGTGTTGCTGGTACTGAGCTCTCTGGAACCCCACTGCCCCCACTGCCCCCACTGCCACAGGAGGAGCTGGCAGAGTTGCCCAGTGAGTTTCGTGATAATAGGCTCAGTAAAAACTGAAATGCACACTTTTTACAGTTGATTAATGTTTTAAAGGATGTTTATGTTTAGCAGCAACTGTATTTGCAGCGCCCTCGGGTTTACATAAGAGACTGACCCCAGAACACTTTGCCCTGAGCTCAAAAAGGTTCACTCCTGCACCGCACAACACAAAAGCACGGAGGAAAATGCTGAGCAACTTAAATTCGTGTCAAAAGTGTAAAAGTGTAAACATGAGCTTGGCGACAAAAGACTGGGCCTACCGGTCCGCAGGAATCCCGGGAACAGAGCCGAGTCTAGGAGCGCCTGTTCCCGCTGGTTCTGCTCTTTGGAGCGGCACAGGTCCTGTGGGCCGCTGTTGTGGGTCGGATCATTTTAAAGACGGGAATACAGTGGCAATGTTTATGTAAAATCAATGGACAACTCGCAGAGGGAGGTAACCATGGGAAAAACAAAGAGGTAACTTTGACCCGGAACTTGCACGAGTCGTCTGTTTTCCAGAAATTCCGGTGAAGGCCCTTTCAGTGTAAGAGCACACAACATAAATAAACTACAAATAATTGTTTCAAAGTGTACACAAATGTCTTCAGCAGCCGCAGTATGCCGCTCAGACCTGTTTTTAGGATAGATTCAGTATAGCGTGTAATCTTTTCTGAAAAGGGGGGGACAATAATGAGGAAATCACAATTGTATATCATTGCATGCAGATATTCAAAAGAAGAATATCCAGGTATCCACGCACAGGCTACAAGACAGGGCAAGACTGTCATTTAATTATCATGGAAGTCTATGGGAGAATGTCTTCCTTTACAAACAAACACACACCTTGATTATGGCTCTGCAGTATGGTTTTGTGCTCAGACTAAAACATCTTCGGATGATAATTTTATTCCTAATCCCCTCCTTAAAACAATTTTTTTTTGCTCAATTTGCTGCATTTGTACAGATTCGAATTTAGTCGTTCTGGTCATAACTCCACTCAGGAAATTAATAACCTGTAATTATTTTTACACAGTTTTTAACAAGCATTCTGAAAATGTACAATGTAAAGTTGTGCATACTTTTAATTTGACATGAAAAGGGCAAGTAATTATAGAGATAACCACAATCCAGCTCCAAACACCTGCATTTTTTTTTTTTTTATCTTAATCCAGTACATTCTATTACAGAATTGCCCTTTTAAACAGCAGGTACTTATAGGATAGGATATTATTTGATTATTTGATTATTAGAATATTAGAATATCTCTGTAATACACAACAAAACCTTCTGTCACCCTCTGTTCAAGTTATTTCTCCTCTGTGTTTTGCAGATAGAAGAGCTTTAAGGTTTCTCTACTGGTAGTATTTTTGTGTGTGCTATAAGATTACAGTTTTTGGTAAATGTCTTTTTAAAATTTGAACAGCTGTAAGGTTTTTCTCCTACGTGAGTTCTCATCTGTACTCTAAGAGGATTCTTTTTGGAGATTTTTTTTTTCTTTTTTTACATATTGAACACCTATAAGGTTTTTCTCTTGTGTGTGTTCTCATGTGTAGTGTAAATTGACTCTTATAAATATATATTTTTAAACAGATCGAACAGCTGTAAGATTTCCCACCTGCGTGAATTCTTTTGTGATCTTTGAGACTACTGGAGTAAGCAAAAGATTTCTTACAGATTGAGCAGCAGTAAGGTTTCTCTCTTGTGTGTGTTTCCATGTATACTGTACATTACACTTACGGATAAAAGATGTTTTACAGATTGAACAACTGCTGGTTTTTGCATTGTGTGATTTATCATGTGTGTTGCAAGTTTATTCTTTACTCTTAATGATCGTTTCTTACAGATTGAGCAGCTGTAAGTTTTCCTCCTGTGTGTATTGTCACATGTATTGTAAGACTAGTATTTAGCACAGATGTTTTCTTACAAATTGAACAGCTGAAGGGTTCTCGGCTGTATTTTCATAGTTTTTTTTATTTATTTATTTATTTTTTATTTACAGAATGATTTGAATCTTTCTTACAGATTGAACCACTGTTTTTGTTTCTCCTGTGTGTGTTCTCACATGTACTTAAAGATGATACTTTCTTGTGAATGTTTTCTTACAGACTGAACAGCTGAATGGTTTTTCACCTGTATGTGTTCTCATGCAAACTGTAAGATTAACCTATAAACTCAATGTTTCCTCACAGGCTGGACAACTGAAATGCTTTTCTCCTGTGTGTGTTCTCATGTGTTCCTCATGTTTAGGATTAAACTTTGTGGTGAATGTTTCCCTACAGACTAAACAGCTGATTGGCTACTCTTCTATGTGAAGTCTATAGTGCTTTATAAAACCAGTTTAGAATCAAATCCCTTTTTACAAACAGAGCACTGGTGTTTCTTCCTTTCAGCCCCTTCATCAGTTCATTAATTGTTTACAGTGGCACAGTCTTTACCAGTGTTTTGTTCAGATGTGTTTCTGGCTCTGGCTCCATCACCCTTTTTCTTCATCTGTGCCGTAAACAGCTGAATGGATGTCTCCAGTTGTCATCATTGTCACCGTCAGAAGAGTGCTGTGTCCTCGTCAGAGTGGAAATGTGGCTCTGATGTGATGTCCTCTTTCTTTGGAGCGGCACAGGTCCTCCTTGGGGTCTACTGCTGTGGGCTGCATCATTTTAAGGATGGGAAAACTGTGGCAACACTCTTTAAATAAAGTCAATGAACAACATATACATTTTGCCGAGGAAAAACGGAACTGACACATTTCTTTATTCCTGTTCCAGGTAATGTAGTTTCAGTACAAGAGCACACCATATTAACACAACATCTGTAATTGTTTCAAACTGTTTCTCTCCTCCCTGAAATTGCTTAAATCTGCAAACCATTATTCAAACCATTAATAATTAGGAAATCATAATTTTATATAATTCCATGACAGGGCGCGGGTTTACAGGAGAAAATGCTACTTTACCAATTACACTGTTGCTCCTACACACACACTCTCACAATCATAGCTGTTACTAATCTTTGACATAACCAAGGAGGTTTAAAAAAAAAAAAAAAAAAAAAAAAACTTACAACTTTTGTATAAAAAATTGGTAATTTGTGTTTTGTTTACAAACATTTGTGACTTTGTTTATTTATGTGGCTAAAGAAATATTAAGACTGCACTTATTTATGAAATTCAGTAATGCTGATCAAACCAAAAAATAAAAAAATAAAAAAAGGGAGGGGTGACCAGCCATCATTTTTTGATCTTTTTTACGTAGTCTGTATTAATGTATTTATATTTTATGTAAACACACTGCACACTGCATAAGCATTTAATCTTTTATTTAAAAAATGATACATGCCAAAGGACAATGCAGGGAACAAATGTTTTTATAGCACGCAGTATGACAAAAAATAAAACAAAAAAAAATCTTAAAAATTAAATGCAATTTTAGTACTGCTTATTGTAACAACAATGTTTAGAAAAGACAAAATGAAGTATGAAGAGCTAAATATGAATCCTTACTAATAAACATGTCCACAGCAAATTATTCAATCAAATAAATACCAAATTATTGATCTACATTTTGATTGAGATAATCATTTCAACTTCTTCCACTAGGAGTCAGCACTGTATTGACTGACACACAACACAAAGTACTTATATTTAGAAAGGACTCCCGATGAATACAAACTCAAAGGACACATATACACAGGGGAGGTATTAGGTTTCAAAACAAAAACTGTGAAGAGTCAGGGGATCTATTAGGAAACATGTTTATGATGCGAGAACACTGCTAAGAGCGATTGAGACTCAGTACAGGGACACAAGCGAAGCATTATAATTGTATTTACCAATGTGCATCACTCAAGGTTTCTCACACATTTCTGCTGATACTATGGAGACACAATGCATTTGACTGGTGTTAAGTAATACAAATCTAGAGATACAATGTTCACATATTACAGCTAGGCCCAGGGTATTTTTTTCTTGTTGACATTACCGTGACGTCAGCCTCAATCTTGCTGTAGGAAAGTTGTAAAACGTGTTTATAATTAATGCATGATAAAGTGGGACTAAACACTAAAGCAACGTTTGTTTTCCTTTTAATTCTGTGTGTGGTGTTTTAATAGCATTGTCTACTGTTCTTTGTCAATTTTGGGCAATTTAGAGCACACAATGTATATATTTGAAGCTATGTGTTGAAAATCTGCGTGTGTGGTCACTACAACTTCAAGTACTGCATGACATGACACAGAACTGCCCTGATTAAAGCCAGGCGTTTCTGATGACAAAGACCTGGATGTTTTGAAGTGTGGACCCCTGTTAGACCAATCACACTGTTCCTTATTCACCCAGACCCTCCCGTTCTCTCCCCTCACTCTCTTCTTCAGTTCTCCAGGTACTGCCCAGTTTAGCAGGGTTTTGATGTTTAGTCCCACTTTCCTAACTCATTTTAAGATTGCTGTTTTTAAAGTTATGAGTTGTATCGTTTAAAACTTTTCTCATGTCCATCAATACTTTTGTCTATGGAGATGTGATTGCTTTGTCTGGAATGTTTCACAGTATGGTATTAAACCTTTCTATCAACCAGACCAAGCTACAGGGCAGATCTGTGGAGAGGCAACCCCGCTCACAGAAGAATGACAGTTTTTCCAGGTATTTTGAGCTATAAAACCACCTGTAATTGAATAAATGTAAGGTTGAGCTGTTTAGTGTCATACTGTCGAACATTCCAGGCAGATTAATGACATCTGTAGAAACAAGCAGGTGACGGACGCCCAACCAAAACGTTACATAGTGCACCTTTAAATGGCCAGTTAACAGGAGGAATTAGGTACTTAACCACTTTTTATATTTTAGTAGAAAATTTGTGAAACCAGCTTATTGTTCAGCATCGTCCAAGGCTACAGTGGCGATTTTTCAAATACTGTGACCACCAAAGTCTCCTCTAATATTGTGAAACACTATCAATGCAAAACCACATAGCAAATTTTCAAATGACCGTATTAAAAGTGATAAGGGGTGTGTGTGACCCAGTTGGACATCTGGTCTTTGGTGCGCTTGGCCGAGCTGTGGCTGGTGAAGATGGATTTGAAGGCCTCAGATTTGTCCTGCATTTCCTGGATAGAACGTTTGGAAGCCCCACTGCTTTTAGAAGAGCTTGGACCAGCCACATCTTCAGGGGAGGAGAAGAAAATAAACACAATTAAATATTAATATTGAACTATGTAAGGACCCGGGTCAGTTTCTGCTGGGGCTGCCACTTTTAAACAAATTGTCAGACAAAAGTAAATTCAGCGTTCCCACTCTTTTTCACTGACAACATTTCAAAACTTGTTCATGACTTTTTCATGACCTAAAGTGATTTTTCTGTGACCTTACAGCAACTTACATGTGTAGAATTTAACTACTTTTAGGGCTAAATGTGAAATGTTAATCCTTTTGGTTTTCATGGGTGGTGATGCTAGTATATGAAATGTACTAGAAAATAACACACGAGTTTTATAATAGAAGAACTAAAGTGCATTTTTCACTGTAATGTAAGGAAAACGTATTTAAAAAATCCTTTACCAGATACAGTTTTAAAGGAGCACTGTGTAAATTTTCTGGTGGAGGGTCTGATGCCTGCTTGCTTGGAGATGTGATTGCTTTGTCCTGAATGTTCCACAGTATGTCATTAAACTATCCATCTTCCATTTACTCAGATATATGTGTTGCTGTTGTTTTTTTTAAACTTTAAACAGGTATTCTTCCTGTGAATGGGCTTGCTTCTCCATAGACCTGATCCTGAAACGTGGCCTTGTGGCTTCTCTTGCTTGTGCTTAGTTAAGATAAATAAGTGTAATGCTGTACTGCTGAACACTCCAAGCAACGCAATAACAGATCTGCGTGAAGTTGGCCCCCCCATCAAGCGCAAACCTACACAAAAACTGTCAGTCATTTCTGCTTCATTGTGTTGTTTTGTGGTGCAAAGGTTTTGTTTGTGCTGCTTTCATTTTTTAGATAATAATTCTTTTATAGGTCAAACTGGAGTCAGTCAGTCCCCCCAGGAAGATTTCTGCACCACAAAACAGCGCAAATGGAGCACAAACCAATGACATAGTTTTTTGTGTAGGTTTGTGTTTGACGTGGGGCCAACTTCATGGAGGTTTCATGTAACGAAGCATGTGACAAACCCATCCACCAGAAAAGTTATACAGTACAATGCACCTTTGATCAGCCCAGTATTGTGCTTTTATTCATTTCTAGATTGTCAAGGTGAAATCAACATAACGGTAACAAAATCACAATCACCTGGATCACTGCTTGCATTTCCATTCTCCAGAGAGCTTCCTGCTTTTGTTGAGCTTGCTTCATCTATTTTGGAAAGTACAAATGTAAATGAATCCTTATCCTATTTTATATTCTCAAAAAAAAAAAAAAAAAAACATCCACACCACACAAAAAACAAACCTTTAGTTTCAGGGGGTGTAGACAAAGTTTCCACTGCCTTGCTCTTCTTTGATTTCTAAGAACGAAAGAGACAGTCACCACAAAACACGTCATGGAAAGAACCCAACAGAGAACCTCAAGCATTTCTTCTTCTAAAAGGTTCACTCACTTTAGTTTTAGCTTTGGCTCGCTTCTCTTCCATTCTCTCTCTCAGCTTGTCCCCCTCCTCCTTTGTGCCGTTGAGGATCACAACATCATCACTTTTAAAGGGGTCCCCACACTGAAACAAAACAAGTAAAGAACGTTACACTTGATACAGTTGGGCCTGTAACAACAAATTTTGAATAGTGATATACTTCTCTAGAAAATAAGACAGCAATATTGAGCGATCAAGTAACCCTAAAGCAGAACAATCATCAGGATATCATACAGAAATGTGAGCTCCAGTACATACATACAGTAGATTTGTTTATTCCCTTATAGAGTATATTGTAAAAGCAGCACTAAAAATCAAACAGTTGCACTCTGTCTACATTTATTTATTAATATGGATGCACAGATCTAGCTTTTTCAGTTCTGATACTATGTCTTTAACGGCATAACTTTTCTGGTGGTTCCAAATTCTGTTGTTATTGCTTTCTTAGGAATGTTTCATAACATGGTATTAAAGCTTTAAATCTTCATGGAAACCAAACCAGACCAAGATACAGGACAGATCTGAGAAAAGGCAATCCGCAATGCCTGCTCACTGTCAGAATGCCTGGTTTTCTAAGTATTTTTGTGCTATAAAATGACCTGTAGTTTAATAAATGTAAGTTAGATCTGTTTAATGTCATACTGTGGAACATTCCAGGCAGAGCAATGACATATCCATAGAAACAAGAAGGTGACGGGCCCCAAACCAAACACAGTGTACCTTTAAGTATCAGCCGATACATGATATCAATCGATACCAAAGTACTAAAGTTACTAAAAATGGCATTTATTTCCTTTAAGCAAAAATAAAATAAGACAGCACTGATCATGTAGCTATTATTTAACCCCAGTAACTACAGAACACCTTTGTATAAAAATAAAAATAAAAAAATAAAACATTATGAGACTTTCTGGGCCGACTACTACCAGTAAATAGCCTCATTATATCAAGTTATATGTGCAGTCTATATTTGGAAGCTGATATCAGATTTTGTCAGTATCTGTGCCAATATCTGATACCAGATCAGTGCATCCCTATTTATGAAAAATGTTATCAAACAAAGATCCAGAAGAACCCTCAGCTTCACTTTGCCATAGGAAAAAAGTTGTTCTGAAGCTGTACATGTGCCTGAACATTTCTACAACTTCGACATGTTTTGTTTCTAATTTGTTAAGGCTTTTGTTTAATCTTCCTAATCATGTTCTGCCATGCTAAGTAAATAATTTAAGTGATGATGTTATCATGATAAATGGCTCACTGTGGGTTCCAGACATTAAAATCTGAAGAGCAGGTGAATGAATGCATCTGTACTTTGACTTGTAAATATGGATTTGTTTATGCTGCACACGGAAATACTTGCAAATGTCCTTTGTATTCTGTGTATTGTCATTTCCATTAGCACACAAACTATAATCAGATGAAGAGAAGAGGTAGAGCACTTCACTGGGTCATAGAAAAGTCAAAAGTAGCAGTACAGGTGCTCTACGAGGGTTAAACCTGAAATCTTAACAGAGAGTTGCCCTTACTGAAAAATGTAAAGGTGAGCAAGGTACAAAACCAAGGCACACTGACTGAATATATTAAAAGTCCTTTATTACATGGATGCCAGCGCGTTTCGACCAGCAACATGGTCTTCATCATAAGAGTGGAACAGGACATACACGTGTCCTTAAATACTATAGGAAAAAGAAACAAAAAATGTTGGCCAACCATAAGGAAAGTATAGGTGATGAGCAGACAATATAATCATTGCAGTATATCACTTCCAATAATAATAAAAACGTTAATTATTTGACTGTTGATTTTACCAATATATTTATCCCAGATCAATCTGACTGTCATTGGGACAGAAATACTATACAGTTAACATGCAAGAACTGAAATCTTTAGAAATGTTATAAACTACAAACTATATTATGTTTTTTGTTTGTTTGTTTCGGGTTTTTTGAAATCTTTTTTTTTTTTAGTAATTACTTCCTGTTAATATTAAATCTATAAACTATAGATCAGTCATCAGACATTTATACTAAGACAAGAATTTTGTTTTTTTCCCACAATGTTCATAGAGAAAGTAGCAGTCAATATTAAATCTATAAACTTTAGATATAGATATATAACTATAGAACTAGAATAAAAACGAGAATTAACTTTTTTGTGTTTTTCTTTTTATCAGTAATTTCACATATCTTTCCCCACTGTTCTAGCGAGGGTATCAATTATTTCTTGTTAACTTTAGATCGGTTACCAATACATAAAAAACAAGGAACTAATGTCTTATCTTCCAAATGGCACCAACAGTTTAACTGCATTGTAAAACAAAAAGCCGTCTGAAATGCAAATGAAGAAGGTGCATGTGGAAAGTGTGGTCATGTGCTCCATATCCAAAAACAACAGGGATCACCCCGGTCGGACACTGTTGGCCAATTACTGCAAACGAACCGGGATGCTAGCAAACAGTGCACCTGCTACTTAATGAGCGAATAGAGAAGGCCTACACGACGATATGTGCCAGATTCAGAGGGTAAGACACATTTTATTAATCTACAAATACATATACATCAGCAGTCAAAAGTCTGGACACACAATCTCATTCAATATTTACTCCTTTCTACATTTCATATACATACAGAAGACTGCAAATATATGAAATAAGATATATATTCAAATCCTCAAATTAGCCATCCTTTGTTTTGTTGATAAAGATTTACTTTTTTTGTCTTTCTTTAGTAAATAATTCGATATATCTTGCAACATATATTTGATATAAAATGTAGAAAGTGGTAAGAAAATGCATGTGTCCGAATGTTTGACTGATGCTGCTTAAACACACACTACCAGCCAAGAGTTTGACACCCTCTCATTCAATGTTTTTTTTTTTTTTTTTTTGCACTACCACTACCACTACCTTACATACTTATTGCATGTGTTTAATGCCTTCTGTAGTAAAAGTAAACAGGCAGGGAAAAAAGTCCAAAAGCCCAAACCTTTGACTGGTATTGTACTTTGAGGAGGAAGTGACCAGAGTTGCACACCTTGGAACATTATAAGTTTGGAGTCTTTTGTTTCAACTCAGGCCCCGTTAGGTGTCAGGACCCCCAAAACCTCTTCTGTGGGGTCCATCTTGTGCTATACGATATGAGTCTGTTAAAAGTGCTGCTATAGTCACATAGTTGTGAAATTTGGAACAAAGAATCCTGACATGATGAGAAATAAAATGATATAACCTTACAGGAGTTTATGCATTTCTGTTTACAGTTAAACCATTTATAAAAATACAGTTTTGGGCACATTACTTTGAAAAACTGGGTTACTCCACTATAAATGTAACTAGTTACTAGGGAACAGAACTCTTACTTTTACTATGTTACTTTGTCTTTTTTTAAAAGGGCACACTCACACTAGAACTTTTGAACCGCTCAAGCACAATTGTGTTGTCGTGCAGCAAAGCAAACACTTTAGGGGAGAAAGGAGTCCAGCAGCTTGATCTATCTATTAAATCATGAGGCAGATATGAGTCCTGCTGCGATACACACTCCTCTGTGAGCTTACAGATATAAAAACAGCACGGGACATCCCATTACACTATCTGTATGTAACGTGGATCCACACAAAGCTAACAGCATGTGTGTTTACAGTGGACAGCAGCAGAGTCATTAGCCCTGATGACTTGTGTGCAGGTGAGGCAGGTGAGGCAGGTGTCAGGTGCTGTATTTGGCCCCAGTACATGGAGGAGGTGAACGAACGCATCCAAGATGGACTTTCCCCAATCCACACACACCAACACATGTCTATTGTTTGTTATTTAGACAAGGCTAAGATGACGGGAACTTTATATTCTAGCCAAATGCAGTAGCGGTTTAAAAATGGCAGAGTGAAACTGGGTTATATCCTAATATGTGATTCTCATATCAGCTAAAACTTGCTTTGCTGCAGCTTGAAACATAAGTGAAAACAAAATACAAAATGGTCACTGTGTGAATTAAAATGGTTAAAAGGTCTTATTTCCTGATCTATGTAATAATGTTGTTTAACACACAAACCCTGCATATTTAGTCTGAGTTCTTCTCTCAACAGGAAACACTCCATTCCACCTTGGGATGTCATGTGGTAATGCCTTACTCTTCTATGTTTTTAAACTCAATTTTTTCCCCCCATCAGATCGGACCTGTAATGTGGCATGGTATCATCTCCATGAAGGTAAATATGGTTATTGTCACACTGTGATAAAGCAAAACGTATCCATGGTGAGGTCAGGTTTAGGTTACGGCAGGCTTTCAGTGATATGGTCGGTATATGGTTGATGTAACATAATGTCTAAATGACTTGACATTGTATTAAACGTATAAAATGTAATTTACCACAAACTGTCCAAGGTCTATGGCTAACAGAATGTTGTTGTTATTTTCTACTAAGTCTGATTTTGACCATTCTCTCCTTTTAAACCCCACAAAACTCAAACATTTTAAAAGATACATACCTGAAATCTCACTTAGATCATATTTCATATATAAAGATGAATTGGGTTGAGTTTAAAAAAAAAAAAATCACGAAAGTTAAATTAAATTTTTATCCTGAAATCTGCTGGTTTCCCATGAAATTACCTCATATGCATTCTATGGCCAAATTACTGAGAATTCTATCCATGGGTTTGTGTGTATGGAATATATTTCTGTTATAGCAGGTGATCTGTTGAAGAAACATAGATCATCTTGGGCATAATCTGAAGCTGGAAAATTGGGTAAGCTTCTGAATCCGTGTATCATTCGTTCATTCGTTTTTCAATATAAAACTAAAAATAAGAAAACGAAAAAACAACCGTTTTCTTCAACCAAAATGAAAAAACGGATAACGATTCCTTTTTTCAGTTTTCGATTTTGTGTTTAAATGAAGAATGGTTTCCCGTTTACGTGACTTCCGTGACTGCGATGCCGAACTTTTGCACCGCATACGGACTGAACCGGGACTGATCCAGGTCCGACACCAGACCGAGACCAGAGCGGGACTGAGACCGGGACCAGACCGGGACCAGAGCGGGACTGAGACCGGGACCAGACCGGGACCAGACCGGGACCAGAGCGGGACTGAGACCGGGCCAAGACCGGGACCAGAGCGGGACCAGGGCGGACTCCGAGCTTTGACTCCGAGCCTCCACGGAGTCCGAGCCTCAGCTTCGAGCTGGTCCCAGTCTCACCGCATACGGACTGAATCAGGACGGATCCAGGTCCGAGACCAGACCGAGACCAGAGCGGGACTGAGACAGAGCTGCTCTGGTCCTCCGCGCTCAAGAACCGCGGCTGGTTCCGAGGTGGTGCAAAGCATCCGACTGACGCATTCACACCAATGAAAATGAATCGAACTAAGAGCTTTTGGTTCAAATGGACCAGGTCCGGGACCAGACCGGGACCAGAGCGCTACTGAGACCGAGACCGAGACAAGACCAGGACCAGACCGGGACCAGACCGGAGGCTCAGAGCCCACGGCAGGGCCGGAGCTCGAAGCTGAGGCTCGGACCCCGTGGAGCTCGGAGTCCGCCCTGGTCCCGGTCTGGTCCCGGTCTGGTCCCGGTCTCAGTCCCGGTCTCAGTCCCGGTCTCAGTTCCGGTCTCAGTCCCCGGTCTCAGTCCCGGTCTCAGTCCCGCTCTGGTCTGGACCTGGATCAGTCCCGGTTCAGTCCGTATGCGGTGCAAAAGTTCGGCATCGCAGTCACGGAAGTCACGTAAACGGGAAACGGCCGTTATCCGTTTTTTCCATTCTTCATTTAAACACAAAATCGAAAACTGAAAAAACGAATCGTTATCCGTTTTTTCATTTTGGTTTTGGAGACAAATAACAAAGAAAACTGTTGTTTTTTCGTTTTCTTATTTTTGGTTTTATATTGAAAAACGAATGAACGAATGATACACGGATTCTTCTTCTGAAATGTCTGATGTCTGAAATCTGAAATGCCAATCATAATCAGTTACTTTGTAGAGAGGATTTGTGCTTGAGAATGCAATTTTTAAATATTTATTTCTATACATGGTCTAATAACTAAACAGAAATGCATAAACCCCTGTAAAGTTACATTTTTGTATTCCTCATCATGTCAGGGTTCTTTGTCCCAAATTTCATGACTAAGTGACACCGTATGTGACTATAGCAGCACTTCTAACAGACTCATAATTTTGCACAAGATGAGTCCCACATAAGAGGTTTTGGGGGACCTGACACCGAACTTGTCATGTCCCAAAGTGTGCACTAATGAAAAATCATAGTAAGAAAAAGGTACCAAAATAATCGCGGTGGAGGGGTCTGGCTCCTGGATTATAATAACAGTATTCAAACAACCATAAAAGTAAGTTAATGGTTACTTAAAATTACATGTCTTTAAAGGCACACTATAACTTTCTTGAGGAGTGGGTCTGTCTGTGTTCATGCAAGGAATGTTCCACAGTATAACATTAATCATCTAGCATATCTTTCATTGCAGATGTTTTTACTGCTCAAAATTCCTTGAGAAAAAAAACTGCAATTCTTTCTATGCGCTGCTGGGTCATCGGTCAATAACTGTCAACTTTAACTATGAAGATTGATATGTTTAAAGTCACACAGTGAACCATTAACATCAGCAGCCTATAACATCTTCATGGAGACACACAAAAAAAAGCTACATAATGCAGCACATCAGATTATAAAATGGTAAAAGGGCTGTTAACTTGGAAACTATAACATTGCATAACAAGGTGGAGTATTCTGAGCTTTAGAAATGTAAACAGACTAATAATTAATAAATAATAACTTACTCAAACATGTGTGAATGAAACAAAACTCTAGGTATGTTTTTGATGCGGTACCAGCATTATAACACATCTTAAAGCTGACAAAAGTCAATTTTCTGTAATATAAGAAATATTAAGATAAATACTAAATCAATCTAGATAAAATTATCATTTGAATTTCAGTAATAATTTAAAAACATCTTTGCCATTGTCATCTTCAAAAGGTTTCTATGAGCATGAAGTGACTGAATTAAAGTTGAGTAGTAAATGAATGAGAGCTGATGAAAGGGTAGCTAATGCTGCGGAGGAGGGAGAGTGGAAAGCAAAACCTTGGGGGAAATGTGTTAGTGGTGCGGTGCAGGTGTGTACTGGTAACCAAGAGCAGGCAGCAAACTCTCACGGGACAGGTGGGAGTGACCAAATGCAGTCAATGCAGGGAAAGCAGCTACATCTTTCCTAATCTCTAAATGCAGAATCCAGTGTGTAGACTAACCTCTGTGCTGCCATGCATGCGCACAAACACCCGCAAAGCACTCCTGGTAACCAAATGAAGTTGTCAAGTTGGGGTTTCCTTGGTTTTAGTGAGAGCTGATGACACGATGGAAACTGCTAATGTTGCAGAAGATTCACTGGTTATCTCCACTGCAAAAATACAGCGTTGAACTAAGATTTAAGATCAAAGGTAAGAGCGCATTCAAATTTTGTTTGGTTTTCAAATCCTAACCCAGAATCGATTTGTCTGGTATTAGTGTCACAATGACTGCTACTAAAATTTGGCATGTATATTATTATATTTCTATGGTAAAATATTTAGTAGTACATTTTAGTTATAATTGCTAAAGATGATTTTTAGGTAAAGCTATTATAGTGTAATTCTCAAAATCAGGTACAGTGGCACATGTCCACATTTAGACACTGATAATAACTAAATACATTGACTGCTTAATCAATCTTTTTTTGTTTTGTTTTTACATACAAATGAGCTAGTATTTTTTTTTTTTTTAAAGGCAAAAAAAGTTATTTTTGTGTGAACTCCTGTAACATTGTGTGCTCTATGCATTGCCATGCCCTTGTTCCTGGATTACAAATTGTTAGTTTTAAAAGTGCATTGTGTAACTTTTCTGGTGGAGGGCCCATCAAATGCTTTTCTTCATGGAGATGCTATTGCTTTGTCTGAAATGTTTCACTGTATTTCATTAATCCTTTCTACATAGAGAGTAAACCAGACCAAGTTACAGGTCAGATCTGCCGAGAGGCAACCCCACTCAGAGTCATAATGTCTTTTTTTTTTTTCTAGGTATTTTTGAGCTATAAAACCACCTTTAATTTAATGAATGTAAGGTAGAACTGTCAGATGTCATACTGTGGAACATTCCAGCCAGAGCAATGACATAGCCATAGAAACAAGCAGGCGACAGATTCTCAACCAAAAGTTACACAGTGCACCTTGCTTAACTCAGAAGTTAATATTTGGCATCAAATTTGTCTTAAAGCTAGCCTATCCCATGTGAGACAACACTGGTATTCTGTGTTCATTATAGTTACATTCCACTAATCTGCTCTATACAAACCTCTGAGCAACAGGACTGTACAGATTGTGTTGAGTTAATCATGGTCCTTTCAAGATATTTTTTAAGGCCATTTCAGCGCCTTGTCTTGGGTAAATTGTGTCTCGTCCCATCTTTATTAAGATGGCTTTAAACAGCTTCATCTGGGTCAAATTTAGTAGAAAAAAAATCTCATATTCACACAATTTTCGCAATCAAAATCATTATCGACCCTATATTATTTTAAAGGATTTAATCCAAAATTAATACTAATTTTGGGAGGGAGGGCAAGTCTTTCAGTATATTTTTTTGTTCATTACCATTACTTGTATTTGTATCTGTTACCGTTGCTGGCATCTTGAAAATTTCCTTGACATTGTTAAGACATACATTATTAAAACATGTTTTTCTTCGTCCCACTCGTTTTGGGGTAAAAGTAAAGATAACCGTGCATATTACTTGCATGTTTTTTATTTTTTTTTATTTTTTTAGTTCTTATTTCTGTTGATAGATATGACCGCACTGATGTCAATATGGATGTTATATGATGATCCATTGTAAAATAAGGTAAAAATAAATTAATAAATTATAAAATAAATGCCTCACTGTAAGGATTCAAGCCATGAACCAGTTTATATTAAAAAAAAGTAACTAACCCACATTTTCAACCTCATTTTATTTCTGGATTGCTCCACAGGAGTGTTGTCAGCGCTGGTGCAGAAGTGAAGACAGACTACTATGTGCCATCTGGATCCTGCCAAGTGCATCTTTGTGGTCTGCCTGGGACTAAGTATTATGGTGTGTTCACTTATTTATCTGAGCGCTGATGTGCCAACCGAGCTCAAGCCCAAACAAGAGTGCAGACCCTTTGCCCCTCAGTGTAAACCTTTTCTGCTTGGCTACAACAGTGGACTGAGGTGGCACCGTCACAACTGCCAGGTAAGGAAATATTCTCTCAGTGATGGAAGAATACTTTGAAAATGTATTTAGTTACAGTTAATACTAAATATCTGAATTAAAATGTATTTGTAACATCTGCTAACACATGGTCCAATCAGAGTACTGTTTCTCAGTGGTGGAGTTGGCAATCAGGGGGCCCTAGGCGAACTTGAGTTTGGGACCCTTATTATAATGTACTGTTTTTCCCATTGTTCTTGAGACACGCGCATATCTATTTATTTGAATTAAGGTGGACCTGAAACTTGTCTTCTTTGAATAGTTTGGTACTCAATAACCAGAGCTGAAAGTAGTTTTATTTTTTGCTGGTATAATTACAGTTTTACTTTCATCCATTACATGTGATTACAATACGATTATGTCCAAATCAGAATGCCACAGTAGTCCTGCCTTGTCATATATGGTTTGATAATGTTTTAAATTGGCTCTAATTATTAACTTTTTTTATTGAGTCGGTATAAATTCTGACAGCACTTAATAATGAATGTGGACTTTGAACTAGATCTGAGATAAAACAAAATGCACTTCAATGGTAGAAACGCCGTTACTGTGGGATGAAAGTGACTACTTACCAGATAAAATAACTATTAAATTATATACATATCAATATAAAAAATAAATAAATAAATTACAAAGAATACACCTCAGCTGCTTTTCCAAGTAAAACTGAGCTAAATTCAGCCGTATTTGTCCTGCAAATCACCAAATGCACCCAGAGCCAGAGTTATAAACTATTTTCCTTTGCAGAGATCAAAAGCACAAACAGGGATTTGCAACTGAACAGTCATAACAGTGCAGGGCAAAAATCTGTCCCCTTTACGCAGCAGACTGACCAAACAGCACATTTACCAAACTCACTGATATCAGAACATTACAAACACGTGCACACCACATGACAGAGCTTATACACGTGTAAAACCATATACATATTGAGAGATTATCAGACTACGTCACTTCATGCTCTACTGCGCATGTCTCCTGCAGAAAGAGCTGCTGTCCTGTCTTGTATCATGTCTTGTAGGATTTCAGCAGAGGCCTTCCCGGGGGCGGGGCTAGTTGTATCGATCAGGTGGAGTGGATATCCGGCTACTGAAGTCTGAGACATTTCTTCTTGTCATTTATGCACTCACCTGCTTTTAATGCATATGGGTCATTAAGACGTATCCCACTGACTAATGTTAATTTAGCATCATAACTTATTTTATCAAATGTCGATAAACTGTTTGAGTGCACTGACAACATTGCCAGCTAGCATTGCATCTTCACTACTGAGAGAAAATCAAATTGCACTGAGGGCAATTGGTTGAGGGCCCGTCCAGGTTCGGGAGTCTTGCCTAATGATCGCGCTGCCTCTGATGTTTCTCAATACTCAAATACTTTTACATCAAGCTGCATTTAAATTATAGTGTAAAGACGCAACATAAGATTAAAAAATACCATATGTTTGTTTCTCATTGAAGGAGAAATCACACATGTACTCACCACAAGAGCAGTGTTGTCTATGTTTCTCAATTATACTGTGCAGCATGAAAGCTAAATTGTGCGAACAAGTACTGCAATGTATCCCTTTGATTTTAGGTAACTGTATTGTGATTACCACCAAACTGTACTAAAATACAGGTAGTCAACATTAGTATTCTGAATACATTTTCTCTGTACATGTATTCATTTACTTCACAGCACTGAATATTTTTTTTTACATTGGCATGATTGTTTTCTTCTTCGCTGACAAAAAGCAGCGGTCTTATATTCTTATAAGCAAAAAAGTTTAGATGTACATTTGCGAGACCTGCATACACTTTCACAATATTATACTTTACAAGTTACATTATAATCTGGAACTATATCCAGAGATTGCACTGTCAAAGATGGTTTCACAAAATACAAAGTGCTATGCAACTGTGGATAAAAAAGGAACAGTTGTCAAAGTTGTCTAGTAAAGTCATATGTGTTTTTTCCCTTTTCCAGGTGGAGCAATACATCACAAACTACACTCTGGATTGCCCCAAACTCATCACGGACCTCAGCTTCATCACTGTCCCCCTGAGTAAAGAGGAGGAGGATTACCCTTTGGCGTTCATTCTGACCATCCACAAAGAACTAGAGCTGTTTATCCGATTGCTAAGGGCTATATACATGCCTCAAAATGTCTACTGCATTCACGTGGACGCCAAAGCCCCTCTGGAATACAAAGCTGTCATCTACAAACTGGCGAGCTGCTTTGACAACGTTTTTGTGGTCAGACGAACCGAAGTTGTCACCTACGCTGGCTACTCCCGTCTGCAGGCCGATTTGAATTGCATGGAAGAGCTTGTACAATCCAAGATCCGTTGGAAAAAAGTACTAAATCTTTGCGGGCAAGATTTCCCCATCATGACCAACCTGGAGCTGGTGCGCTACATGCAAAGCAAAGAATGGAAAGATAAAAATATGACTCCAGGCATCAAGCAACCAGCGAAGTTTAGTTCTCGGACCAGGATGCAACATATCGAGATGGTGGGGAACTATGTGAGGAGGTCAGGAAAAACAAAAGATCCTCCTCCTCACAGAATACAAGTGTACTTTGGTACGGCCTACTATGCGCTCACGAGGGAGTTCGTGAATTTTGTTCTGACGAGTCGAGTGGCCCGGGAATTGCTGATGTGGTCCCGAGATACTTACAGTCCAGATGAGCACTTCTGGGTAACGCTGAACCATATCAAAGGTTAGAGGTGAAAGATACTGAATAGCTCCTTCAATTGCAAGATTTCAGATGACATTGTAATATTTTATAGGCCTATATAATTTAATATAGATGGCGATAGGCTAAAATGAATATCGCTGGAAAGCAGATTTTTGTTGTAATACAGTGAGTTCTTGGGTCTTGTCACTAAAAGAAACAATCAGGTTCAACACTTGTGCATTTAAGTTTTCTATATTTCGTGACAACATACAATGTAGGAAATAGGAAAAACTGGCTCTTTCCCCCACATCTCGGAGTATGGCATCATGACATTTTACAATCTGAAAACTACCAATAACAAAAGATGGATTAAATGATAGAGCGCATGAAAAGCTAAAGCATGAAATTATGTGTGTGCGTGTGTGAGTGTGTGTTATGTATTTATCACATTGTAGGGAATAAATCTACATATTCAATTTATGGGAACCTGGCTTCTTTGTAGGGGCAAAATGAGGTCACCATAATGTAAATCCTGTATTATAAAATTAAAAACATTTAAACTTAAGATATGGGTTGCAATAGGTTATAGTTAGGGTTCAGGTTAAGGTTAGGCAAGAAGTAAATATGCTTAAAGTTTGGCTCAATCTCCAGGAAATTAATATAAATCTAATGTTCCCAAAAAGAATGAAAGCCCTATATGCATGTGTTTGGCGTCACTTTACAAAATGCACCATTACAAATTTCATGCAAAATTTTCAACAATAACTATAATATTTACTAGGGTGGTTCCTAAACTTTATGATATATATTCTTGTACATTTGTGTTTAAAATGCCGTATTTATTCAGTTCTTAGTCAAACATCATGTCATTCTGAAACTAGTACAGGACCTTCATGTACTTAGGAGTAATGCTTGCCAACTTCTTATGTTTGGAAACTTCTTATATAATTACACAAAAAAGAGGTACTAACATGCTGTAAAACAACGGTGCTGTTTTTTTTCTGTTTTTCAGAAGCTCCAGGTAGCTACCTGACAGGAGGCTGGGGAGGAAGCATTCGTGCCATTAAGTGGTCTGATCAAGAGGGAACAACGCATAATGGGTGTAAAGGTACTTAACTTAAAAGGAAACAGGAACTTAAGTTTTCTTTTCCTCACTGAACATTAAACATTAATCAAAAAGCCAAACATTCCTTTTCATGTGTTTAAGGAGAGATTTTGTTCTGAAACATACCCAGCAAGTTTACTCCTGCTCCTTTTTCATTTCCATCTTATATTTATATTGAATTAGTTAAGAAGTAGGTATGTCTTCATATTTTAAAACAGAATATTTTTTCACAGTTGTAACTTTTAAAATTCACAATTACCTTTTTAATCTTAACCAACTTTATCATAACAATGCGAGTCCACCATCTTAAATATTATTTGGTAAAGGAACTCCACTCCAAGTCTTGTTAACAAAGGTTTGGTGGTTTTCATTTTAAACACGTACAAGTCTAATGCCCTCATTAATTGTTTTTCAGGACACTATGTTCGGGACATCTGTGTCTATGGAACTGAGGACCTGCCCTGGATTTTTCAGAGCACTGCCATGTTTGCTAATAAATTTGAGAGTGGCATGTTCCCCGAAGCACTAGACTGTCTGGAGATGTGGCACCGAATCAAAGTCCTCAAACAGGCAACTGTGTCTATAGATCCAACATGGTTACTCGCGATACCACACAGCAACAGCACTGAGATGTGAAATTACTGCTAATTGAGTCATAAAGACTTGCACTTTTAGCTGTGAATATGATTATTTCAATGTGTTAAAAAAATGAAGGGAAAAGCAGCTGCGATAAAGCACAGCTGCTTCGGTTTACAGACTAATGATTTTCTTATTTTTATTTCTTAAATGCTACTTAAATAAGATTTTTATAAAATAAAATACTTTACATTAAAGGACTAAAGGAATTTGTTTTATATAATCTTATTATGTGATGCAGCACACTGGTAATGGCTATTTTAGCTATATGCATAATTTGTAGATTGCAATTGTCAGACCACAGTATCCAACTTTTTAGCCAGAAAAGACTAAAATAAAAGCATGTTTTAGTTTCTTCTTTTATCATTTAGGTTGTCTTTATTGCACAAAAAAAACACAACCTGACTCTTATTTGGCCTGAAGAAAGGCAGTTTGACATAAAGTGTATATATCTCTATGGAGAATATTCCACAGTGTTTTTCTTTTTGGAATGGAATGATGCAGACATGGAATCACGCAGACATGTTATGCATAGAGTCATTGATAAAAAAGACCATGGGGTGCTATTTTTAAAGCACTGTTAATAATTTAGGATTTAAGTGGGTTATGAGCTTACATTATTATCTCATTAAAGCAGAAATTTGTCTTGGGAGAAGGGACTAAATATTACAGCAATAAGGAAAACCTTGCCAGAGCAGAGAATCAAATCCCACATAACAGAGACAGTACACATACATACAGATACTGCTAATCTTAAGTCAAATAAGATATTGCTCAACTGCATGGCCTGTGCATTAACCAATTAGTCTATGGAGGTTGTTGTTGGCATCCAGATAAAACCCTGCTAAACCTACAATAGTATTGTGAAGAAATATTGCTCCAAACTCCAAAACTTGAGTGCATTGGATGAAGAGTTCTCTCTCACCTTGTGACAAATCTCGGTCTTGACTTCTTTAAGTGCACGCTCAGAAAACACACATCCACAGGTTTGTAAGTAGCAGAATCTAAACAATTAAATTAAAACAAAAAAGATTAAAAACAACAACAACAACAAAAAAAACAGGTTTATATAAGAGAAGTTACTGAACAAACAAAAGACTGTGGGGATGTTTAATTACCTATGTTTGCCATTCATCTCCAGTCCAACCACAGGACAAATGAACATGCCACAGTGTATGTCCTCATATCGATCTCCTTTGGTGTTTCTCCTCTCACCCTCCCACTCGGGGTTATCAGTCAGGTTCAGCTCTTTAATGTCCTGCAGCAAATGGAACAAGGTAATCACTCTGTTATTGTAGAAAAATAGTTAGTAACAAATTTAAGAATGATAAAAGACTAGACTAAATTTCTGGAAATGTGGGGTCTGAATGATATTAGGATAAAGAAATGGTACCATTACTTTTTTGTTGTAAATCTAAACAAATAATCTCAAAATAAAAATAAATAAATAATTATAATACATTAATTTTGTAGTTGCTTTACAGTTTTGTGCATTATTCACTCATTCAAAACTATGACAAGTTATACTTGTAGCCACTACAGCCCTGGGAAAGACTGACGAAAGTGAGGTTGCCAATCTGCACCATGGACCCCTCTGACCACCAATCACTCACACACACCACCACAATTATATTAGGCAATATAATTGAAGTGTCTTGATTAAGGACACAATGGCAGTTTTTAACCACTGGCGCCCCACTGTGGCACCTGATATTCCCAGCGGTCTCTGGCTTTGACAAAAACAATTGGCCATATAAAAAAGGTTTATGTTTTATATTACAATATGCAAAAGTCATCATGCTTGACTTTGTAATGCAGGACAGATAATCATGGCTAGACCTATCAGTTTTTGTGATTTTGCAATTATGCATTCTTCAAATTCTCTATCTCTATGTCCCAGGACATATTAGCCTGTAATGAAAATGTACTTTTCACAGTCCATCAAGAGACCATCTCAGAAGACCTTGGTGTTAGGAAATGCCATTAAAGGATTAAAAAAGCTGTTACCTTTGTGCCTCGAATGTGTGTTACTGCCTCAGAGTTTGGTCTCTGTGCCGTCTTGTCCAGGAGGTATTCGATGATGGCATCCTTATTGTAAAGCCTGAAACAAGCACCAAGAAGACAACACTTAGAGATGATTGCAGAAAATATAGGAAATATTATGAAAATGTTGTTGTTTCATACAGATTATGTCTTACCTTCCCAGGTCACAAGCAACAATAGGGCGCTTGAGCTTCTCTTGGCTCAGAGCACAGTATTTCCACTTTGCTGCCAATTCTGCATTTTTGTCAACCTGAATAAAGCACAAGTATGAATATTAGGCATAATAATGCTGAGAGGTGTACAGGATTCAGGAGCTTACAGATAGATTACTAAAACAAACAAGACAGAAGAGAACGATACACTATAGTGGAAACCTCATAGCTTATTATTTGTGAGGATAAAACGAAAATAAACTGTCTAGAAACAGAAATGAGTACTTTTACCTTCAAGCCGTATTACAGACGCTTAGATGCTTAATGGGTGAATTAACCAAATATACGATTTTCTTTAATTATTTGGAAATAAAAAGAATGACACTATAAACAGTGAATCTTCTAACTTAATTCTTTAGCTCATTTTAATTTCTCCAAATGCGCCAGAAAGAATCCACTGCGGGATAATAAGCCAAAAACACTCTAAAGCTAAAGCTTTAAGTTAGCATGGGTTTATCGACGACAACTCTATCAACAATACACAAAATTAATCTTACAGACCTTCTCTACTTTCTTCGGGCCTTTCACTAACTCGTGTCGTTTAGGAATCGTTCCACCGTCACATCCCATTTTGGATTATTTTAGGTTTAACTTCTCAAAAAGCGAGCTACAGCAAACGGGAACGACAGACCGGAAGTATCTGAGGTGTAAACAAACAACGAGAGCTTTTCTTATCTCGCAAGGAAGCCCCCAACACATCCCTACACTGACATCTAGCGGTTAACATATGAAGTGTCGCCTTCAATAAGTGATTCCCGATTTCTACCACTGAGGGGTAGCTTTGTACTAAATATAAGTGTAAAGGCTTTGATGCAAAGAAAAAATTATACAATACAAATAAGCATGCAACAACAAAAAAGTTAGCTATTTTAAGATAAGTTAAAAAAATTGACCCATTATTTTTGTAAGGCTTTGGAGCTCAAGAGTCACTGAACACTCATTTTCCATTAATTTTTCCCATAGACTTTTAGAAAATTTATAGTATTAAGACTTCAAAGACATCGCTGCGGTTAACCAGCTATGTGGTAACTTGTGTTATCCATAAAGCGGTTATTTTAAGTCCAAAAAGCACATTCAAAACGCAAGATTCGGCAAAATGCTTTAATAAAACGGTCTATAAATTTTCAGAAGCAGATTTTAAATAAAATTATAGGTCTTGTGGTCATAAGTTGTCATGTAGTTGATAATGCCTAAGCTTCTAATTTTATTACATTTTATTATTTTTCTCAAAGTCTATGGGAAAAATAAATTAGAAATTTACACAACCAAAGGGTAGGCTGTCACTATTGAGATCCATAAGTCTATTACAGTTTTGTGCGGTTTGATTTAAAACTCAGTGTTTACTAAAGTCAGGCTGACATTTTCAAATTAGGAGCATTTAAACATCTTGATGATGATGCAATGAATGTATATAGTGCCTTTCAAGACACTTAAAGGGCTTTACAGTGCCTTCTTTATTCACCCCACACTTTGTGAGGTTTTGTAGCCACAGACTGGATAAAAGTATAAGCTGGTGTATGTTTTTTTGTTTGTTTGTTTGTTTTCTATTCATGGGGTTTCAAATTCATGTTTTTTTTTTGATATATATATATATATATATATATATATATATATATATTTTTAGAGTTACCAGTACAAACAATATATTATCTTATTGTCAATGGTTAAGTGTTAATTGCTATGACAACTGTGCTCAGTTTTCTTCACTCTGAAACTCGTGAAGCCTTTGGACTCACAATCTTAGAGGACTTCTGAAACAAACAGCTTGTCCACACTGTTGTTCCTTACCCTCACTTACAACAACAAGGCCCCTCCCTTATGACCCCTCCTCTCCACACAGAGCCCTGGGGCCGCTACACTGGCTGCACTGACAAACACCACGCCACTTCGTACACTCCAGTTAACAGCTCCACACAAATGACTGCACTCCTCACTTAAGCTTTGCCTATTAGACATCTTCTCCATCGCCCATTAAGACCAGTACTAGTAAGTGACATTAGTCTGGCTTTTAGGCCTGTGTCCAAGTGGTTTAACGATGAAAGTTTCCTTGGAAGATAGTTCGATGAGTGGTAATCAAATCACTTTCCTGTGCCCTGTAGTCTTGTATTAGTTTACTATCGACGGTGGTGCACTGGAGTGACCATTAGTTTGGGGGATACCTCAGAGGAGACATCTTTGGCGGCATAACCAAGAATGTGTCTGCAACCTCATAAGAAATATAAAAAAAGACCAAAGAAAACATATTAGCATTTGCATGATGTAAAACTTGATTCATATTGTTAAAATTTGTATGAAATATGAAGAAAAAATAGCAAACAAAACAAACACTGCACCATTTTGCCTTCGATTGGTTCTTCCTGTAATTTATAAATCACGTTATGCGTCTTATTGAATTTCCCCCATTCTCACACGCAGCTAAATGTTTAGTATGGATTTTCATTAGGGGCAATGGAGTGAGAGCTCTGTTAGCAAACTATCTCTGAAAGTGCAGTGGTCCAGGCAAGGCCGCAGTGCAAACTTACACCTGAGAGGAGCACAATGCACAATGCTCACTGGACAATAGACAATAAACAGGCAGTGGTTGTGAGATGTTCTGGGAAGTTTCCAAAAGTAAAGCCTTAGACAAACCTGTGTTCAGGCATGTGAAAGATACAATTAATTTATCTATTATCTATTGTATTACTGTGTGCTAAAACACAGTGGCAGCAGTGAACCACAGTGATTGGCATAAATATACTTGCTGAGTTGCCAACGATGGTGGAAAGTGGGAATGCTAAAGCTTTATTGAAAACTTTATTTTTCATTTATTTGATCAAATACATTAATTGCTAACCATATTTAGATGGATTATGTAACTTTTCTGGTGGGGGTTCCACCACCCACTTTTCTACATGGAGATATTATTGCTGAAGTTACATAATGCACCATGAGCAAGATGACTAGATTATCTTGGAACAACATTGACCACGCATAGTTAATGCCATGCCCCAAAGCAGCTGCATATTGTATAAGACATATATTGAAACAAAACATACATTATGATGCTTAAAATCCCTAGAAAATGGTCCACAACCAACATAACAAACATAGTTTAGACTGAATAATTTCTTCACTTTTTCCAACCTCCATGAGATTCACTTCACTCTCACTTTCGCTCTCTTTGTAACTGACCTCTCCTTTACTTTTCTATCTCCCCGATCCTATATTCTCTCTTCAAATGACCCAGCAAAACCCCCAAACCACCGGTGCAATGTCCAACCTCTTGTTTATACTTCCATGATGAGTCCAACCTGGCCAATCAGACTCCCCCAGAGCGCCCTTGAAATGAAACCATAACCGTCCTAGCCATCGCAGTCATCCGGGGAACACCACCGCGCCATTAATTGCACATACCAGCGTGAGTCCAGCACCGAGTCCAATGCATTTAGCGTTTCTAATTGGGAAGGGATTGCTGTGTTTACATTGGCACTGGTTGATAGACTAGGAACCTTTAGCCCCACAGCGAGCAGAGTTAAGACCCAAAGAGGCCGAAATTGTTCTGTATGTGGTTGGAAGGAAATTATGAGATATTTACGTGGGTTTAAGAGTAAATTGGTGAAAAGGTTCATTGAGTTTTGATAGAAAGTGTCAAGCACTCACTGTCTTTGCTTAGTATTAATGATATCACCGAGTTTGCTGCAGAAAGGCCAATCAGATGTGGAGTTTTGAAGATGATTAAAAGATATTGCCTTTATTTAGATTTATGTGGTGGAAGAAGTACAGCATTTTGTTACTTAAGTAAAACTACGGATACTGGAGCAAAAATACTGAAGAAAAAGTAAAAGCATCATATGAAAAGAATCTACTTAAGTAAACATATTAAAATACCAGTTTAAAAATGTATTTGTATTTCAGTTTCTACTTAAAGTGTAAAAAGTAAAAGTATTTTGTGCAACCTTTTAAGCAGGCCTCAAACTACAATACAAAATACAGTCCAGTTTTCAGTCCAGTTCAAAAATGCAGTGGAGTAGAAAGTACAGATACTTGTTCTTAAATTAAGTGAAGTAAAAGAAAAAGTGTCTACTTTACAATTTAAAATACAAATACCTAAAATGTCTGCTTAATTGCAGTGCTTTACTACTTTAAATTTGTTACATTTCACCACTGGATTTATGAGAGATGAAAAATACACCAATTGCTTGTCTACATGGAACTGTTATATCTTTGAATGGCATTAAACACTAGTAAATCTGCATGTGCTTTTATTGCTCAAAGACACCTTTACTGTATAAATGTGCATCTATGTGAGCAGGATTGTCTCGAGACAGATCTGACCTCTAATTTGAGCTGGTTTAATGCCATACTGCGGTACATTCTAGCCAAAAGAATAAAATCTCCATGAACACAAGCAGACTTAGCCTCATTAGATGAATTACCTTTAAAATTTACTTCAGGCAAGGCAGCTGATTCTTATGCTGCAGATGTACGTATGGTACTTAGGTACTAATCTAAACTCCATTGGTACTACAACCTTTCTACAATAATGAATTGATGTTTCCGAAACCAGTGAATAATTAACTTTTTGGAGCTTCTGATTGCACAAAAATACTGTAAGCGTATGTGGTCACTAATATAGCCCATACAGCATCTCTTAGGTCTGTTTCAACTGAGAGTAACACTGAATAGCTAATTAATAGATCAAACTTGATGTCTGGACCTTCAGAGGTAGAAGTGTAAATAATGCAACAAAGAGAAGATGAAGAAGATGGAGAAGCTGAAGAAGCTGATGGTTCTGCTGCAACGGTCAAGTTGTTTCGGAGGGGGTTCAGGATCCAGAAGGGACTTGAAGAGGACAATAGAGGGTGAAAATCCTCCATACAAACTTGAGACGGTCCCACACAGCCGCTAATTTGTAACACGTGTCTCCTTCAAAATTCTCATAATATTCAGAGCAAAATATATAACTTCTCATACCTGAGATAAATAATAGTTTGATGCTTTAGTAGTTGTTTGTAAGTCCTTTGTATATATTTTAATCTCTTTTTTATCTATAAGCAGCCATGTTTGTTTTTGATGCAAATGGAGCATGCATCTTTCTGGTTGGTTAATCTGCCTGTCAATCACTTCCTCTGAAGTCGTGGAACAGGACATGGCTCCAGATCTACTTGTCTTTGTAAAGTTTGTGTGGTTCTGGCTGGTCAGGTAAGGGTTGTAGCACAGTACGGACATGGGAAGAGACTATTTATATGAGTATTGAAATGCGATTTGTTAAGATCCAAAATATCTGGCTGTGACTGGCTTGTAACAACAGACAGATGACGAGATAGGAAATACAGTTGTGGTTGAATTCAGACTATAGCTTCATTACAGTAAATTCCCTTCTGTAATTATAAGGTCACAGGAGAATACTGGAGTGCTAGGTTGACTCAAAGTCGGTGTATCAAGTGAGTTCATGGACCCGACTTCTAAAGAGGAACCCAAAACCCTGGAAAAAGCTCTGCACTTCCAGCACACAGCCTGTGTACCGCACACACAAATCGACCACAATTATTCTCCCATTCGCTCCCCTGTTTATGTTGAACCTCACATAGCTAAAATTATGTCAGTAGGAATAATTTTTGCCTTTCTGTTAAGTTAGTTCAATAACTTAAAACTTAGTG